CTCCACCTTTTTGCACATTGAGTTTCGCAGGCCATGTTTGGGGTGCAATCAACAATGATTAGTACAGCAAGCATGGCACTTTTTTTGCAAGTTCATGGAATGCTTAGATTGCGAATGGAACGTTAGAGATTAAAAGGCTGGCAGGCTGTCAAGTCTTGTTGGTAAGGGAGGCCGAGCTACTAAAGAAAAACGAAAGTAAAACTAAAACCTTTGAGAATAAATTACTTGACAGTGGTTGCAGCTACACGGGTCAGTGAGGGTTTATTTTAAAATTGATTTACTGTTTGTTAGTAATATAAAAATAATTCAATGTCCCATAGCCTGGCCACAGTCCTAAGCAGTTCTTGAATACATTCAACCCATATATCCACTGTACTGTGCAGATGAAAAAAAAACAAAAAAAAAAACAAACACTATCCTATATAATTTTTAAACACAGCAAAGCAGACAACAGTCTCTGAGAAAGAACACTGTATACAAAGACCAGAATTCCATCAGAGAGACTACGGTGGCATCACAATGCAGCAGTCACCCTTATAAATTGCATTCATACACAAAAGCTTTAATTCACAAAAGCACAACGTGATATTTTCATTACTTTGCATTACTTTCTTATTTTTAACAGCTGAAAATGGATTTCTCAGTAATTCACTAAAGGCATTACTGCATGGATCAGCTGACATGTTATGCTATTTTGTATTGATTTTTGAGGTATATTAATTGTAAAAGTAAATTTATATTATCACATTGGTTATTGCTGGCTACAGGCTACCCATAGCTTTAAAAAAAATCAATGATCTGTCTATTGAGGAAAGCAGGAGAGGGAGCTGCTTAAGCGTACGATGAAGTGACATTTTATGAGATAAAATAAAGATTCAAGAGAAAATAAGGCTTTCACCAGGTAAATGCTTGTTTCATTTTTAAAAAAAAAATCCACACCTAAGTGATATTTAAGTTTGAGAATTGCACTGCACATTTTAAAGTCTTTTTTTTTTTATTCTGAGATAAAATAATTCATCTAATCTAGTAGTGAAGCCCCCAATTTATGAAAGAAGTGTCAAAAGAATGTAAAAAATATTTTAGCAAATATAATCCCAGATCAATCATAGCCATTCACTGTTTATAGCCAATACACTATTCCAAAGACTAATTGTCCATCCTTGGAGACATCCAGAACTCTGGTCTAATTACAAAATGGGATATGGTTTTGAAACAAGCTGATGTAATCACAAAATATAGCCAATTAATATTTTTGCATTTTTCCTTATAATGGGATCAGAGCTAACATGCAGTCTGGAATTGGACACCCTTCATGTTCCATCCCCTCTTCTACAATATACCAACTGATAGCACAAATTAAGCAGGTTATTCATAGAGCTGCATTTTAAAGGTAATTGTATGTGAAGTGTGTCGATCACAAAGGTAATCATCAGCACAAACCTCAAAAGCTGATTCTGTGGCACCTTAGGCATAGGCAGCCAAGAGGTGACTTTGGCCTCCTCCACTATTCCCTCCTCTAGTGTTCACTTACTCCCGGGAATTGCAGTATTCTTACAGCTGGATAGCCATAGATCACATGTCTTTGTACTTAATGTACTGAAAATACTGAATAATTAAACCTTCAGGCAGTTTAGTCCTGACTTGTCTGACAGTCTGGAGAAATCAATGCAACTATGGACAGACAGAGGTGGTGGGGAAAGCTGGGTATCATTTTTAGATCAGTTCTATAGTCTGCGGTATTTGATCATCTGGCACCTGGATAATTTCAGGGGTACCAGGAATTTTGCTATACTGATAACTGAAGTACTACTGTGATAAAAGAACCTTTTTGTAACTGTAAAATATAAGGAAATTACAAGGCAATGGAAAACACTTTTGTCAAATAATTTAGCAAATATTTATACAGACAAAAGTAAAACAATTTACAAGTAATAATTACTGTAATGAATACCTGCCTAAATTACAAACGGTTTAAATAATTTAGCCCCACCCCAATCCATAAAAGGCAAGCTCATTCCTAGTGGTTATGTCCTAACTACATCCATATTAGGGCAAAGCCCCACCCGCTACATCATCCCAGAGTGTCCCAAGTGTGCGTGGCGGCATTTGGTTCTGACTTCTGAATAGATTTCATAATTAAGATGGAATGTGTCATCAAAGCATGTGATAAATGTCTTACCAAGATGCGCAAGGGAAAATATCTTAAGACATTTGAAAGTTCTATTGCTGTTAATATGACTGCATGCAGCATACTTCTTAATACATCTGCTTTGCTTTTAAGGTATCTGGCTTGGAACCACTTGAATGTGCGTTTAACTACAGAGCTTTGGATACTGGCAATTGTAATGAATACATTTTGGTCTATGAATGACTGCTGACAACAGAAGTTACAAGCTGCAATAACCACAGTGGAAAATAGTTTTAAATCTATATACCATATGTAAAATGGTTCTTATCTAGCACAGCATAATATACAATTACTGTGACAAACATTTCCTGACCTTCAGAAATCTATGATATTTTAACACTGAGGCTTGTCTTCAAAGCGGTGTGTGTAGATGACAATTACTAATCGGCCCTTGCATATGCAGGTGTATTATAAGAACTGCTGAATGCTGGTTATGAAGTAAAACAATCTGAATTAAAGTAGAGATCATTCAGCCATTGCAGAGGAACTCTCGCTCTCTTACCGCAATGGGACAGAAGGCAGTAAAGACAAAGTGCATATTTTTTTTTCACCTGCTGGCAATATGATTGAGGAGTTAGCAAGTTCGATAAAGACAAACTATTTGAAACATTCAGCATATATTAAACAACATATATTAGTAGGCATCAAAATACTTTGCCGTGGTTTGGTATCATTCTACTTCCATCATCTAACATTTTTAGGACTTGTGCACACAACCATCTTCTCTCCAATCTCATCTATACTCTGTTTTTGGAAAATGTTATACAGCAAATGACGCAACCATTTTTCTCTTAGTAAGAATGACTGCCAGGTTGGAAAGCGACTGAGAAAGATAGGATAAGGCAGGCCACGGATTATGAGATTTTCTTTCCTGCAATCACAGGTTGCAGGAAAGAAAATCACTCAAATCCCCCATCAACACAGTCTGTGTTAATGAAGGAATCCCTCCTGTGGAGCTATTGTGTTCTCCCAGTAGGGGCATTGTCCCTGTCCAGAGAACACAATGATTATTGCTAGAGGCTAAAGCTGCTGGCAATAATCTCATGCTAAAAATCCGACATGCTGGTTGCACCCAAGTCAATCAATGGATCGACTTGGGTACTATCAGCCTGCCCATAGATGGATCGAATCTCAGCTGGTCCCTGCTGAACTGGCTGAGATTCGACCCATCTAGCTTGAGTCTTACTGTTTTTCTATTAGTTCCTCTTCCATCTAGTGAATATGCAAATAAGAAAACAAATATTCTCTTGGCGTATGCAACAGTGTAGGGCAGGAGCAAGAAAGCATTAAGGATAACTAATAGTTACAATTCAAAGTATGTTAATGACTTTTATGTACTGCCACAAACACCGACTCAGTTCTGTAATGTGATATGAGTGTGGTGTGCTTACAGACTGAAATGGATTTATCTGCCTGTTACTGTTATTTATATATGATGCATAGAATGTGGAATTTATTAGAGCACAAGAAGCAGCCGCATCATTTTATGTCCCTGAGGAGCTTACAATCTACTTTCCTGAACAACATTAGACACACAAACAGACTCTCTAGAGCCATTGTTTTCCAGAAAGCTTTTTCCATTGTGGGGGGGGGGGGGGGGGGGGATCCATGCAAATTTGGGGAAAACATAAAAACTCCATGCAACAGGCATCCCCAACAGGAACTGAAACCAAATTTCCAGCACTGGCAAATACCATGTTAGGCATTTAGCTTCTGTGTTTCCATGTTTTGCTCTAGGATGCTGACTAAAACTAAGTAACCCTAATGGCATCAAAAAAGCCCACAGATGCTCTGATACATAAGCCCTTCTGGCAAATGACAGAATTTCCTAACTGTCATTGATGGCTGATCTACTACACTGTTTAAGCCTCTACCCTGTTTTTTTTTTTTCAAAGACTTTTCCAAAAACAGAGAAAAGATGAGATAGGTGACAAGACAAGCTGTGCACACAAAGCTGCAGGAAAATGATAACCCTCCTAGCTGTCTTTGATCTACAGGTCCCAGCATGCACTGCCAGTCCAGGGCCTGCTGGGAACTGCAGTGGTTATACAGATGGAGGGCCATAGGTTGCATGCCTTTGTACTCAATATAGTGAAAACTTTAAAAAAAAACCCCACTAAGCTCCCCTCCCCTCCAACTGCCATAAAACAATCAACATCAACTCCATATTTGCCACAAGTGGATTTGAATGTTGATAATGTTATATTAATATTTACATATTTAAAATATAGGCAGAATTTTTTACATTTAAGACCTATCTAAATGAAAAAAAAAAAATATCTAAATTTTAGTCAATTTCCTTTTCTAAACTGAACACCTCCCCCGCTTAGCACTTGCATGGCTAATCAGAATGCAAGCTCTGCTGTGCTGGAGGAGTACACTCATGGCACCATTATGAAGAAGCTATTTACTACCTATTGTTAATTTAAGACAAAACAACATTACAGCTCCTAATATGAAGGATTTAAGAAAATTAAACCCTTCTGGAATTAAATAAAATATCTACTGCAGATCCACATTAAACTTGTGTATGCGGCGGGATGCCCTTTAGGGAAAGGTGGGGCACATGGCCCACTCTGCTCATACAGATAGTTCTGCAGTTTAGCTAAAAAAAAAAAAAAAAACGTCCAGTGATCTGCTTGTAATACTACTATAGCACAGTGTTCCCTTTCATAAAATAATGCAGACAGACCATGATTCACTAGAGGTTATGCTAAAAAGTAATACACATTATTAAACTATCGTCAAGCATTGTGAAATTATGACAAAAATAACCTGGCATTATTTTTTTCTTCCAGTGGTTTAAGTCTCTTTACATGTTGTATGCAACATAGATTGGATCTAGCTGATCAGCTAAGAAACTGTCCCTTAGGTGCATCCGTTGTTTCTCTCCCCTGGAATTTATTGGAATGACTCCTGGGTCCACCACCACCACCACACCTACGATCAGGTAATGTTCTTCCAGCACAACGTTGGTCACCAGAGGAACCAGATCCAGAGCCTCTTGCTCAGAGCCGCAAAGCTCCACAACCACCACCAGAAGATTGGTCCATGTGAACACAGCGCTAAGGAGGAACATGCAAAGATTAAGCATTAAGCATGTTTCATTACCATTATAGTTCAAGATGAGTAAATTCTAGTACTGTACATTACACAATTTTTAGTAAGCTACATGCATTGCTGTAAATGTTAAAGTTGTTATACTCAAGATCACAACATTAGCTATGGGCGGACTAGATGATTTCTAACTGGTGGGCAATAGAGAAGGAGCCTCCTACATTGGCAGGAAACAAGTCCCCCTTTACACTGATTTTCAGTGGAGAAGAGCTCCCTTTTAATGTGTAGTCAGTAGAGAAAGTCATTGTATTGTAATGTAGGTGTACTGTATCCCTTCAGATTGTAAAGCACTGTGCAAACTATTGGTGATATAAAATTCCTGTATAACAACAGTTAATGGAGAAGGGCCGCTTTACAGCAGAGGACAGTGAGGTGCCCCATTTATACTCGATATCAGTGAGGTGCCCCATTTATACTGGAGATCAGTGAGGTGCCCCATTTATACTGGAGATCAGTGAGGTGCCCCATTTATACTGGAGATCAGTGAGGTGCCCCATTTATACTGGAGATCAGTGAGGTGCCCCATTTATACTGGAGATCAGTGAGGTGCCCCATTTATACTGGAGATCAGTGAGGTGCCCCATTTATACTGGAGATCAGTGAGGTGCCCCATTTATACTGGAGATCAGTGAGGTGCCCCATTTATACTGGAGATCAGTGAGGTGCCCCATTTATACCGGAGATCAGTGAGGTGCCCCATTTATACCGGAGATCAGTGAGGTGCCCCATTTATACTGGAGATCAGTGAGGTGCCCCATTTATACTGAATATCAGTGAGGTGCCCCATTTACATTGGGAGTCAGTGTAAATACCCCCTTAGATTATTGGTCAGTGGAGAGAAAAGTGGGAGAGCGTATGGCTCCTTACAATTGTATTCAGTGGAGAAAAAAGCTCCTTTATACTTGTAGTCCATGGAGATATAAAAGCCTTGTTTGCATTTGTGGTCAGTGCGGAAGAAAACCCCCCTTACCCTGCTGGTCAGTGTCCAGCTAAATGAAGTGCACGGACAGTTTGGTAGTAGATCACTCTTCCCGAAGACTAAAGCTGGCCACACAAGTTATAATCTTATAATGCAATCTTCTTGGCATCTACTAACATTTATGCAGTGTGAGGCCTTCCTGACTGGATTTAAATTAAGCAATTTGTTTAGGCTGGTCTTGACATTACAGTTAGTAAATCTAAAGAAGACTGCACAAAGATTGTACAATTAGATTGCAACAAGTGTGGCCAGCATGAGCCCAGAGTCCAAATAATGGCTTAAGCACTTCCATTCAGGCTGGACAGGTAGGGACCGAAGAGCTATTCGGGACTCTGCCACCCACCTTCAACAGCCCCCTCCCACCCCCCCCCCCCCCCCAGGCTCCACAGCAGCTCTGTGAGACAGCCCTAGGTAAGAACATACTCTAGGCTGGCATACACACCATTCTGCAATGCTCCGATGTGTGCGTGACACAGAGGTCTCAATATCGATAGGATGGTAGCGTAGTCCTCTTAACTCCAGTGTTTCATCCAGTGCTCCAACAACAAACAAGGCATCATGCCGTTCTGGGGAAAGGCAAGCAAGGACAGGTCAAGAAAACGTTTACAACTATAATATTTCAGTAAAAATCTAGATAAAAGGAGTACAGTTCGATATTATTTTCATTAGAATATACAGAAAGAGAAAAAAAATGTATATATTTATAAAGCGTGCCCTGTAACAGAAAAGAAGTATGGGAGCGGACTTGTTTTTACAGCTGCTTTGGGGCTGTCATCCTTATCCTTGCCACTTTGAGAGTCACTAACAGCAAGACAACTAACGTTTGCTTAAGGAGTGGTCAGCAATGACAGCTTCATTGTTTATATTGTATCAGGTCAGGACACTAGAAATGCACATGCTTGTTCCTAGTCAATGAAGGAAAGATTAGCATGACACCCTTGGAGTATGCAGGGGCTTGTCAGCTTCTGTATATCTATACTGACATTCTACTTCTTTTGAGCTTAAGGTATCAAGGACACCCCCTGGGGTATATCATCAATCCACCCTGGGCTTACAAGAAATGCAGCATAGAATGGTGCACCACCATTATGTTGCGAAGTACAGACTGCCCACTGTACAATTATGAATTACCACATTTTCCATCTATCTATATTATCAGCATCCATTTAGGACACGGACTTATCCAAAATGTTCACTGTAAAGCACACTGTGACACCACTTAGAGAACCTAAGAAGTCCTCTAGTTCAGTGTGCTGGGGGTCGGGTGGTTCCTCTAATTATATTTTCCCACAATGCAGTTCTCAAAAGAGATCCTGAGCCCGGCACCAGTGACACAGGTCCCAAGATTTAGGAAACACTGACTAAGCACTAAAGTGAATTTGAGAAAAAAAAAATGCTGTGTGATGGTAACACAAACATATAGGTGTCCTTTTATGAAACTGAGATCAGCGGTGATCCTGAAGATCATTGCTGACCTTAGATCATTAGTGGTTTAGGAAACATAGATGATCAGCGGAGAACATGTTCTCCGATGATCATCTCAGCACACAGACTGCCAGTATATGAAGGAGCGATGTCAGCCCTTCACTGGCGATCTGTGTTCTCCCTCCAGATTCTCCAGCCCAGAGGTGGAGAATTGGAGGAACCGCAAACGAAGCAACGGTAATATACCTCTGCTTAGTAAATTGTGTTTGACTGATCTCTTACTGTAATCTCGCGATTACAGCAGCTGTTTTCTAGCGTTCAAAGAGTTTGTAGATCGCTTCTCTCTCCTCATTAGGAGAAGCAATCTACACCACTTCATAAAAAGGCATTCAGAGGAGAACTATCTCCTCTGGAAATGCCAGAGAACTGAGCAGCGCTCATTTACCGCTGCATGAGAAAAGTGAAGTTTTCTCAAATGTGATTGCAAAGGTGGAAATCTACTTTACAGCAGGCTAAATGCAGGTAAGAAGCAGTTTAGATGCACCTGTCAATGAATTCTGAATGATCTCAGAAGTATCTCAAACTGATGCCATCACAAGCCCAAGGCCCCTCAACACAGCCACTCAGTTCATTGGGTTTTGCTTACATGCTCTGTTTTCTTTCTGTAACCCTGAAGGTTACAGCTAGGTTACTGACCAAATTGGACCAAATGTGGACTATATATAACTGTGCAGCAGATATTGGAGTGTCATTTCCTCTTACCCAAAGGCCAGTATGAATACAGTAAATGTATGTACACTGTACAGTGATCTGTAAACAATATTCAAACAGTAAAATGACAATACCTCCACTTGCATCTGTCAGCTCTGTTCTGCGCACGAAGCCCAGGTAACCGGTTCTTGCCCAAAGTGTCTGTGTGTCGCCAAAGCTTAGCCTGGTGTTAAAATGGTCAGCCTGCAGACTCTCACTGTCATAGATCGTGTAATATCCGCTGGCTGTGTGGGGGCTGTTCACCCAGATCTGCAGAAAACAGATATGCAGTCAGCAGGCTGGAAAGAGTAATGAAGTCAGGTAGAAGCTTACTGTTGCATGGGAGAGGTAAATACTATCAGTTAGGACCCATTCACATTTGAGTGATTTGTAGCTCAAAGCTGCAAAACGATTGAGGAGAAAAAAAATCAATTATTCTCAATGAAGATGGTTTACAACTCCACTCCAAGTCGCCTAAAGCCAAATGCCTGAATCTTAAACAAATTCCTTGGGGGGTTTTTTTTTGTCGCTCAAATCGGGCAGATATGCGCGTTTGAGCATTTTTATTTCCATAGAAATGAATAGAAACACACGATTTGCATGTGTTTGCGCGTTTTTCTGCTCAAATGAAAAAATGTAAAAAAGAAAATAGTAATACATGAATCAAAAAATTTAAAATAAATACACGAATCAAAATAATCTAAAATAAATTGATAACATATATTAATAAATACTAAATAGCCCCAAACAGAACAAAAAAAAATAATAATAATGTATTTATTTAATTTGTGTTAGGGTGTTGTTTTTATTATTATTAACAATTTATTTAAATAGTTTTTATGGGTTAGGGGGTTAAGGTTAGGAGTTAATTATTATTTAATATTATAGAGGATGCCAAAAACCTGATTTGTATCTTAGTGCAAAAAACCAGTGAACCAATCACACAAGCAGGAAATGACATTTCTGGGGACATTCCATACACAATCTGTATACAGAATTCCTCCAGGCTGCCGTATTGCATTGCATTTTACAGAAGATTACAGTTCTGCAATTGAAAAGGAAAGGTAATTTTAATAATGATTTATATTACAATATGACTTGTCGCAACTGTGTGCGCTATTTTACCAGTAATTTTTTTTTTGCAGTATTTTTTCCCATTAAAGTGGAGTAACCCTTTACGTATAGCTTGGTTTAAAGAGAGATATATAAATAATGCATTTGTATAAACAGCTAGATAAAAAGAAAAAAAAGTTGTACACTAACCTCACCAAGATGAGAATCTCCGAGGGGCCCTTTGGTCTCTGGGTTTACAATTATCACTGTAAGACCAGGCAAAATCTGGCAAGCATTAAAAAAAAATTGTATACAAGTGTTATAAATATATTACTGTTTTTGTTTTACTATTGCAATTCTGAATTACATTGATGAATAAAGATCTGAACAAAACATATATTCAATACTTATACGCATAGTTGCTTAACAATTGCAAGCCTTTTACATACTAACAATTCTACAATGCGGTAAATTCAACTGATATGTGTGATAAAACTTTTAGTGAATAAGAAAAAATATTCCAAATGCATAAATTAGCAAATGATATAGAGTAATGAAAAAACTTTAATTGATCCCATGTGCAGTAAGCCTTAGGCCCCATGCACACAAGATGTTTTTTTTCCTCCCCTGGATGCTTATGCTCTAGGGGAAGAAAAAGCAGCATTAAAAGCAAGCCTAAAGCTGTATTTTGGAATTGAGTTTAGGAACGTCAAGTGCTTGGGCATTCATTCATTCCATTGGCCAGAATATTAATTTATTCTGACCACTGAAATGAATGAATGCTATAGCATGTTTAGATGCTTTTACACTTGCTTCGGCTCATTAAGCATTTTTTTGACACTGAAAACACTCCTCTCCTGAACATGCTGGCTCTGGGTTTTTTTCTGTCTCCATGTAAATACACAAAAATTTAAGCATTTTAAATACCTACTTGCAGTGTTTTTTTCTTTCCATAAACTATTTTGACTATTGACTTGCAATTTGCCTTTGAACTTGCAAAGGAAATGACACTCCAGAAAGAGTCAGTTTCCATAGCAGTCTGCTCGCTCATTGCATGTCACAGCCCTCTCCTCTTCTGGAAGTGTCTAATTACTCTCTGTGCTGGTAAAAGCTCCTCTGCCCCTTCACTTAACCTTTCTACGTAATCATTTATGCAGTTATTACTTAGACAGCTGATAGATACACTGCTACAGGGCGGCACCTGTGCGCAGAAACACATATACATATATATATATATACACACACACACACAAGTCATTCTGCATTTGTGGATAGGGGGCATGCGCGAGCCATGCATGCGCCCTACCCATGCTGCCATTTGCGGCCGCTTGTAAACCTTGGCGGGATGTCAATCAATGGGTCCCGGCAAGCAATTACCCGCTGGCACCCGGCGATTACCAAACATCTCCGATGGGGAGGAAGATTGTTTTGTTTACACACAATCTTCCACCGTCAGCTCGAGCACACTGCTCTGGATGACTGTGCACAGTACAGCCATCTCGATCAGTGTACTTACAGTGAAGAACACACCCCCCGCCCCCTAGTAAACCCCTTCCTGCCCAGTGTCATTAGTACAGTGTCAGTGCTTTTTTTTTTTTTAGCGCTGATCACTGTATTTGTGTCACTGGGGTTGTCAGTGACACCAAGTTGGTCCTCCCCCCAGTGTCAGAATGTCCGCTGCAGTCCCACTAAAAGTCGATAATCGCTGCCATTAATAGTAGGAAAAATAAATCCCATTATCTATATTTTTTTTAGCAAAGACATGTAGCAGAATACATTTTGCCCTAAATTTATGATTACATTTGATTTTTTACATTTTTGTACTGGACATGTTTAATAGCAAAAAGTCCAAAATATAGTTTTTTTTCTCAAAATGGTCGGTCTTTTTTTGCTTATAGCGCAAAAAATAAAAACCACACAGGCAATCAAATACCACCCGAAAGAAAGCTCAATTCGTGGGAAAAAAAGGACGTAAATTTCATTTGGGTGCAGCATTGCATGACCGCGCAATTGTCAGTTAAAGTAACGCAGCGCCGTAGCTCTTGGAATTACAAAAGCATAACTGAAAATGTTGGGAAAATTATGGGGAAAAAAAGGCATGCGTATGGTTATTTTAGCATTATTCTACAACAAGCTTACCTTTCCGGATTCCAGAAGGAGTAGACTCTGAGGAGATCCTCTTTCCACCAATCGTACCCTGGATACAGAAGACGACAAAGAAAGTTGTCAGTTGGTAAAAGACAAAATATTCCCCAGCAGTGGTTCTTAATTGCCTCATTCAGTTTCCAGCAAAATGTAAGATGGAGTTAGACTCCAGAATTTTTTTGGAGCCCGGAGTAGTTCTCCAGTGGGTGTGTAATGTGCTAGTCCACCTATTACTGAATTTGTACTGTTAAATGCCAGTAGACTTTCATCATTGTTTTAATACCAGCAACGTCCCACAGCAGAACCAGGTTTCTAGGACATATGTTCGCTTACACTTGGCAAGGAATTGTGACATATGATTGGGTAATTTTTAAAAATCTATTCCAAGAATTTTTTTCATTCTTATAACCTGTTTTTCACCCATATTTTGAACAGGAACAGAGGAGGCTTTCAAACGTTCAGTGTTCACACCATAGATCCTTAAGGAACTTCATGAAAAAAAATTTTGCATTGGCATTTGCCATTTCTGGCAGAGCACTGAACAGCTTATTGGTGCACTGCCGCACACCGTAGCACTGTGCTGTAACACACGTCTGTCTGCAAGGTGCAATTAGTCTATCAGAACAGCCTGGCATTCTCTCATGACAGAAATGTCTGGGAGACTGCTGTATGTGCAGACACACTTAGATGCCTGATCTTCATACTTGCAGCAGTTTAGCACACTTTTCTAAAGGGACGAAGTTTAACGCCTGAAATTCCATGAATGGGTGTCTACACCCCTTTACCCAACATCCTTTGCCGTGCTCTGGAGCATTTACGGAGTAAGACTAAGACCCAGCAAGACTTTGAGCAATATAAATCTGCCCTTCAAAAATACAACTCCTGTCTCCGCACTGCCAAACAGACCTATTTAATCACTCTCAGTAACACCCTCTCACACAATCCCCGTCAACTCTTTTGTACCTTTAACTCTCAACTTCATCCTTCTTTACCTCCACCCACTAAGTCACTCACTGCCCAGGATCACTTCAAAAATAAAATTGATACAATTCGTGACGAGATCTATACTTTACAGATATCTCCCTCACATTACACTCCATTGTCCACCCGCACAATCTATACTTCCCTTGTTTAACCCAGCTACTATAGAGCCCACCTAACCATCTGCCCCCCTGTTCCCTCGCTAATACTACGGTCACCCTGGCTCTATCCTTCACTCTTTAACTCATATCTTTAATCTCTCCCTTTCTACTGGCATCTTCCCCAACTCTCTAGAACATGCGCTAGTCACCTTCATGCTTAAAAAGGCCTCACTGGACCCCGCTAATCTTAGCAACCTAAGACCCATCTCCTCACTCCCTTTTCATTTCCAAACTACTTGTACGTCCAGTCTACAACCAGCTGAGCTGTCACCTTATTAAGAATAACTATGATGGGAGTCACTTTGGGTGGGGGCCCATGGAACCCAGCTCACTTTGGAGAGGTGGAGAGACCCCTGTCTCAGCTCTCCACATCCCTCTTATGTGTAAATCACCCTGTGCCTGTTAGGGGTACAGGGTGATCTGTCCTAATATTGGGGTGGGGGGTTGTTGATTGTTTAATGTTATGTGGCTGCATCCCATTGTTCTATTGTTTGGCTTGGGAGCAAACTATTATGGGATGTATATGTGTTTATGTGTATTAGCTTAGTGGGGGGGGGGGGGGGGGTATCCAGCAGCCCTCCCTCCTGATGGGACTGTCTGCTGGTGTGAAGTTTGAATACCCGTGTGTCTCTTGTTACTAAATGTAGATTGCCCCGCCCTGTGTCATTATGCAGGGAAGGGGGATTGTCCCGAGTGTATATATATTGTATCTGTGTTCAAATACAGTAGTCTACCATCTGGTTTACTTCAAGACTGGTGTCGTCTAGTCTTGTATGGTCGGCTGTGGTGCCTGTTGTCGGTGTTCGGATGGGGAAGCGGTATTCTAACGTTAGTACCCAAGCGCTGTCTGGGTCGGTTTCATTACAATAACCTTCTCGATTCCCTTCAGTTTGGATTTCGCCCACAACAATTCACAGAAGCTGCTATCCTAAAAGTCACGAACGACTTGCTAACCGCTAAAACTAATAGCCACTATTCCATACTCTTACTCTTTGACCTCTCCGCTGCCTTTGACACAGTTGACCACCCCCTCCTCCTCAAAAAAACTCTATTTACTTGGTCTCAGTGACTGTACGCTCTGATGGTTCAAATCTTACCCATCTCACCGCACCTTCAGTGTCACTTACAACTTTACCTCCTCCTCTCCTACTCCTCTGTTGGGGTCCCCCAAAGTTCTGTCCTTGGACATCTCCTATTCTAGATCTATACCTCTTCCTTGGGTCAGCTGATAGCTTCCCATGGTTTCCAATACCATTTCTATGCTGATGACACACAAATCTATCTCTCTACTCCTCAACTCACCCCCTCAGTTTCCTCACGTATCACCGATTTACTAACAGACACATCAGACTGGATATCACACCACTTCCTAAATCTCAATCTATCCAAAACTGAGCTCATAATATTTCCTCCCCCACGTGCCTCTTCTGATTTCTCGGTCAAGATCAATAGCACCACTATCCATCCATCCCTGCATGCCAGAGTGCTAGGGGTAACTCTGGATTCTGAACTATCCTTTCAGGCACACATCCAATCCCTGTCCAAATCATGCCGCCTCAACCTCCGCAACATCTCCAGAATACGCCCCTTTGTAACCAATGATACCACCAAGCTTCTAATTCATTTCCTGGTTATCTCTCACCTCGACTACTGCAACTCCCTCCTCAGTGGCTTACCTTTACATAGGCTATCCACTCTCCAGTCCATCATGAATACTGCATCCCAGCTCATCCACCTTACCAACCGTTCAGTGTCTGCTAGCCCTCCACCGGCTTCCACTTGCCCAACGAATAAAATTCAAAATACTAACAACTTAACTTTTGTATCACTCAACTCTTCCTCCTAAATGGTAAGCTCTAACGAGCAGGGCCCTCTGTTTCCTCTTGTACCAATTTGTATTATAACTGTTATGTCTACCTTCATTTTGTAAAGTGCTGCATAAACTGTTGGTGCTATATAAATCCTGTATAATAATAATATAGATATACAAGAAGCCAGGGGCTGACTCTTCGCACCAGAGTCCACCTCTAGGATATCACTTTTGGAAGAACTGACACTTTAAAACACACATATATCAGCCTACAAATGAAGCTATCATTATCCCAACATATATATATGTACAGTTTAGTACGAAATAGAGACCAGGATACCAGAAAAGTCCCCTTTCTCTACCAGCTCTAGCAGTGCACTTTGATAGGAAGGTCATTACAACAGACTCTTATCCTGTTGCTTGTCAGGCAGCCAGAAATAGCAGAACTGTCTGAATCACTTGAGGCTTCTGACACAAGTACACTGCCAGTTCCCAGCTAATGGATGAATATTGCATGAATGAGTAAGCGGATCTTTTTGTTAGAAATGGTGACAATCTGGCAACTTTGAAAAGGCATACAAAGTTTTTAAGCCAACACCAGGTGCAGTACAGTGTGTGGCTGAATCAGAGTGGAGATTCTTTTTACACAAGAACTCCAGAATGACAGAAAACAGGACAAATGAGGGACACTCTGAGAACAATTATCTGTGCTCCCCTTCCCTGATACACTGTCTGCTTTGCTTACATAGAGCAGAATACGTAAAGGTCATATTTGTTCAACAAATTTGAGCTTTCTGTTCTGTTTTAAACATGCATGACTACAAAATGCATTTTAAAACCTTCCACCTCACTACATTATGGGTAGTCAGCAGTACATTTAAGCCCCCTTTCTGCACCCCACGTTCAAATAACAATCCCACAACATTGGTTGCCAGTGGCATTTTAAACGGCCCCCTTCACACAAAAGCAATTGTTCAGCAAATGTGGGCTTTCTGTTCTGTTTTAAACATGCATGACTACAAAATGCATTTTAAAACCTTCCACCTCACTACATTATTGGTGGTCAGCAGTACATTTAAGCCCCCTTTTTGCACCCCATGTTCAAAAAAACAATCCCACAACATTGGTTGCCAGTGGCATTTTAAACGGCCCCTTTCACACAAAAGCAATCCCACAAACATGGTTGTCTGTGTTCCTCTGCTAAAGACAGAAGTATTTAATGAATGGATTCATTCACTAAAATCCTCCTTTGCTCATTCCTCTGTTGTGAGAGGGTGACTCAATTGTAAACAGTACTACACTGTTTATATTTGTAATCATTGTGATTGACTAGCACTGCAATCACAAGGCACAGAGCTGCTCCAATCAGCTCTGTGCTTTTAACCAATGCTGTCTGTTGTCTAAAGTCAGTGCGAGCAGCAACTTGGTGCATAAGGCAGGCGCACACACATGTAAACAATATGGACATTCAAGTATATTCACTCATCCTAACAAATGTACCGACAGGCCGATGCATTACAACAGCTGGTCCTAAAAGGTTAAAGGGGAACTCCATTAAAAAAGCAAAACAAATATAACATATAAAATTGCTTCGCAAGTCATATTGCAATTTAATGTTATAAAAAAATTACCCTTCCACTGCAATCAATGACTGCTTAAATTTTCTAAAACTGTCCAAAATTCATTGAAATGGCAACCTGCTGGAGGCATTCTGTACACTGTTGTTGTACAGCATGCTCTCAGAAATGTAATTTCCTACTAGTGTAATTGACTGACTGATTTTTTCAGACGCCAGTACAGAGATACAAGTCAACGTTTAGGCAAGCCCTGCAATAGGAGTTTCATTTCCAAGGGGGGATGTTGTTCCCCAAGTACTACTAAAGAGATCTCAATTATGTAACTTTCTTCATTTTAACAATGGGATCTGCTCAAGTGGCGATCATAAACAGACTCTCCCATTCAGGAATGAGTCTGGGAAGAACACGGTGAAACAAGCTTTTTTTTTTTTTTTTTTTTTTTTAATTTAAAAGCAGAAAATGTAGATGTGCAACAAGATTTGCTTAAAGTGTTACTAAACCAAGGACCCTGCATTCACTATATCTTGTCTCCCACAGTACATGGAAATGCAATTATTTTAGTAAATATAAACTGCCAAATACCTTTACTCATCAGCAGTGTATAGCAGTCTGGTGACTGGTTATAGCTTGCAGGAGGCATTTTCATTCTGCTCTTACTGTCCTATGAGGCTGCATAACCCTGACCCTGTCTGAACAGTGCTGATTGGCACTGCGCTGATTACATGCACCCTCCCAAAGAAAAATAAAACTCTCTAGCAATACACACAAAACTGAACATGTGCAGAGTGACTCCAAGAGCTCTGTACTATCAGCAGATGCATTGGGGACTGTAGAAGGGGAGGATCAGAGAAGACAGGCTCAAAAAGCCTTTTTACAACAATGCAGAAAATTAACCCCTTAGGTTTCACACTGAGTATAACAAACACGTTTTACTTCATATACAGACTGATTTTACTGTTGTGGGTTTAGTAACACCTTTAAACCCTTGCAATGTACATTAACCACCCAGAGAGGACAGTTGTTTTTCTTAACAAAAAGGAGTTACATGTTAACAACCTTGTCATTTTGTATCAGTCTGCAAAAAAAGAGAGTTGCAGGTTAACAATATTTTACAGATTGCACATTTTCATTTGACTACTGATGCTGAGATGTGGAGATGCTGTAGGTAAATCCTTTAATTTAGGAAGCATAGTGGTTCATCCCTTCAAACTTCTAGTGTCACTGTGTATGAACAGTATATACAGACAATACACAGAAATTAATGACACTGTTTTTGAACCCATGACATAGTCAGCTATAAGTACTTACTGTATAAGATCTTATTACAAGTAATAAAACCTCAGTGAACTGTGCTGCCAGTGTAATCATCTCCTTAACCAACTCATAAATCCAGTGCAGCAACTTTCAGAGCCAGCTTGTAAATCACAGACTCCTTCCTAACCTATGAACATGCCTCATCCAGACAGGACCGATATTTGTCAAACAAAACACATCAGTGTTCTATTAAGAAACTACATACCTGTCATGCCGAAGGGATTTGAGATCCACGTACACTGTTGTAGGATCTGGCCCTGAGGTTCCCTGGTAATAAGACCAGAAGGTGTTTGTATAAAAGTCTATTCTAAGGGTATTTACACGCTAGAAATTATAGTAGCTTCATCAAATACATTAGGTATTGTTCACTTTATGAAAATGTGCATTTGTTATATGAGAATCTCCAGAAACATAAAATACATTTCATGTATACAGTGGGTATAGAAAAGAACCCCTCTTTAAAATATTCACATTTTGTTGCTTTGCAGCCGGAAATGAAGACAGACACAGTTTTTGTTTTATCCAGCTGTATTGACTCAGTGCAACTTATAACATCCAAGAGAAAGATATAACACCCACATGTTGGAAAAAAGAATACAAAGAAATTCAAAAACAGAATCACTGAGTTGCAAAAAGGATCACCTTCTTCTAAAAATGACTTGTAAACTTAAATCAGGTGTAGCTAATCACTTCTCAATGGCACACAAAGCCATTTGACTTTCAGCTGTGATCAGCTCTGCTCATTTTTATTAGCCGAGCATGAAAAGATCTTTCCTGGAGCATTTCAGTCCCCGGTAGTGCAAATGAAGCAAACAATCGACTATGGGTGGCAAGGCACTGCCTGGGATAAAGTTGAGGACAGGCAAAAGTCAGGAGATGAATACAAAGCAGTATGTTTATTATTATTATTGTATATACTATTACTAAGAAGTGGAAAGTATTTGATACAACACAGACCCTCCCTGGATCAGGCGTTGCTCCAAACTGGATGAAAGAGCCAGGAGGAAACTGGTCAGAAAGGTTACCAAGAGGACTACAGCAACTCTGAAGTAGTTGCCGAATTTATGATAAAGAGTGGTCATTGTGTGTATGTGACAACAATATCACAAACTCTCCACAAATGTGGCTTGTATGGAAGGGTTGCAAGAAAAGAGACACTACCCAAAAAAGGTCACATGCAGTCATGAGTGAGCTTTGCCAACATGCACCTTGAGGATTCTGAGGCCACATGGAAAAATGTGTTATGGTCAGATGAGATTAAAATTAAATTACTTGGCCTCAACACTAAACAATGTCTGGTGGAAATCCAATACCACCATCCACATAACACCATTCCTACAGTCAAGCATTGAGTTGGTAATATCCTGCTATGGGGGTGTTTCTCTGCAGCAAGGACTGGATCACTTGTCAGGATAGAAGGACAAAACGATGGAGCAAAATACTGTCAAATTCTTAAGGAAAATCTGCTGCCCTCTACCAGAAAGTTGCCAATGGGAAGAAGACTTACCTTCCAACATGACAATGACCCAAAGCAAACAGCAAACATGACCATACAGTGGTTGAAGGAGAAAAAGGTGAATATCCTTGCATGGCCTAGTCAGAGCCCTGAATTAAACCCAACTGAAAATCTGTGGAGTGACTTGAAGACTGCAGTCCACAAAAAGTCACCATCAAATTTAACTAAATGTGAGCAGTTCGGCAAAGAAAAGTGAGCAAATATTGCAAAGTCTAGATGTACAAAGTTAGTAGAGACATATCCCAACAGACTAATGGCTGTAATTAAAGCAAAAGGTCATTCAACAAAATACTGTGATGGGGGGTGATCCTTTTTCTAACCCAGTAATTCTGTTTTTGAATTAAAAAAAAAAAAAAAAAATTCTGACATTGTGGTGTTATATCTTTCTCTTGGATGTTATAAGTTGCACTGAATAAATACAGCTGAATAAAACTTAAAATGTGTGTTGTCTTCATTTCAGGCTGCAAAGCAACAAAATGGGATTATTTTAAACGGTGTGATTCTTTTCTATACCCAATGTACATTTGCACTACACATTCAATTCAATTCATACCATTTAAAGGGGTTTTGCATGTTGATTAAAAAAGTATAAATTGTCTTATGCGCTAGAGCAGTCTGCAAGCAGTGTATATCATCGTGCCCCGCCATTATAGTACTGAACCCAATTCCTGAACACACACAACTATCCACTGTGGTTCATAGGAGAAGAAAGCCAACGTAAAACAACAGTTCCTGATAAGAGGCATGTCCCATTTTCTAAGCTGTAGTGACCTAAATACTAAAAGTATAACTAAAGGCAAATTTTTTTTAGGTTTGAATAGTGTAGAATGACTAGAAAACCTGTAAGGATTTTACTGCTGTCTCTGCCACTATTAGGGAGATGCAACCTATTTGTCATGTGTACTATTATCACCAAAAGTAAAAGAAAATCCCAAATTTTCTGCCCCAGAAGGAAACCTTGCAATGGGTACACTAGTTCTAGTGACCCTTGTAACAACCAGGGATTCCCTCACTTTGGAGGGATTTTCTCTCATGTCCTGTTTTAGCTATAGGACAAGAAGTGACAGGAATTCTTCACACAACAGGTCTTTGGTTCTACCTAATAGATACACAATGGAGTGGTAACAAGTGGGAAGGAAAAATTTATGCCCCTGTTGATAGTTCAGGGCAGAAGTTAATTTTTTATCCTATCACAGACAGTAGAACATTTTTAAATGGAACACACTTAACGTAGGTAGAAAGTTCAAAGAGAAGCTGAGGCCTTTTGCTTTACCCAAGGTCCACATCTGTGTGGGTTTGCGGGCCGCATTAGCTCGGGCACAGCAACTCACTCATTTGAATGGGCTGCCGTGCCTGCGTATCCTGCAGAAAAAATGTTCATACACCATTTTCGAAACGCAGCGGCCAGGAAAAAGCACCATCCAATTTCCTTGTGGTTCCACACCTGCAAACATGCTGCGGGTTGAGATGAGTGGGGATGCCAAAAGAATGAATGACAGCCCTGTGAGTCTCTACAGAGTAGCATAATTTGGCTGCAGGTGGTTGCGGGAACAGATGCGATTGTCGCACTATGCGCTCAAGTGTGAACCTAGCCCTTGGGATTAATTGACAAATATATGTAGAAAATTATCTACATCTCCAAACAAATCCTAACCCTAAATCCCCAGATCTTTAAACATACGTTGATCAATGTCAATCACTATTCTAAATAACAGCCTATTTTAGATTTACTGGTCATTTGTTAAAGAAAAAGTAGACTCTATGCAGTTATTCAGTTTAAACAAATCAATTTGATTGTGACCCCTGTGATTAATGTTTCCTCCCCTCATGTTACCAGGATCAGGAGCTGCCTTTTCACTTGCATGTGAACTTGGCACTTCACCTTGTCCATTCAGACATTATGGCATGCTATAAGAATGCATCTAAAAATACAGACAGGTTTGTGGATCAGAACCCCCCTATTTATTACTAAACAATGTAAGTTTTTGTTGTTTATTAAAAAACTTAGCATTTGCTAAATTATATATCAGCCAATGACGGCTAATGCCAGCAAACCCACAGCTTACCTGTAAACATATAGCAGTATTTACTCTTGATCCAAAAGTGGTACTGACAGCACGAGGAGAAAGACCAAGATCTTTGAAAAGCTTAGAAAAGGAATATGTGAGAGCAACTCTTGGACGTTCTTCTGCCACCACTACGCAGGTCCGCACATAGGACAAGTTTATTCCTTTTGTCTACAGGAGGTAATAAGGCATAATGTGAAAAAAGGAGCAGGTGAATTCAAAGAAAGAAAGGTACCATATTATTTTATAGTCACCCAAAGTCTAACAATACTCCTACATGGATTATTAAAAAGCAAGCTTTTTTAAGCTTGTCATGTTGATTAACAGTGTTTGCCATACATGTGGACTGCAAATACTGAGTACATACTAAAGGTACTGAAATTTGCCAGAGAAAAGAACTGGACCCCATTTTAGTTCTGAAGAAAGAAAATACTAAAGATATGCACATACTAAGGAATTAATCTGATTGGCCTTTCATATCAGGTATAAATCTGAATAATCGTTACGAAGCAACAAAGGTTGCCTGAGAAAGTACTGCCCCCAAACATCTTAAATAATTTTGCTCAGTATAAGCTGCTTATCATTTTCTCAGCCAACATTAGCATAACTAGGCATGGACATTCAATGTATATTATGGTCTAAAATTATACTTGGGATCTTACCTTTAGCACCTCAATCTGGTTTCCAAGACCCTTAGAGCACATCTCCATTACAGAATAAGAACAGAATGTGTCCCTAATCCTGTACTGACTAACAGCAGATAGCCACAGGCAAAGGTTGGATTCCAACTCCATAGGAGGAATTAATATAGACTGATGACCAGAGTAAACACTGCAGAGATAGCAAAAACATATATTTAAATAATATTATCTTTATGCAGAGATGAATCTACACTTGTTTTAGCCAGAGTACACGGAGGAAATTTATCACTGTATCCAACTGCTAGAACAGTGCACTGAGTTATCCACATCTACAACCAACCTGCAAAGGCACCAAAGTACAAAGCCAAGCCCACAATATGGATCCAGACAAATGGCGATCTGACGTGTGGAGTACAGCTCACACTGCAGCTTTATCGCCCGGCAAAGTGCATTTACAGCTCCATGGGACATCTGCAAGAAAATTGAGGGTTTTAAAGTGACATAGATTATATACTGTATTATATGATTTGGATATTCCTTTACATTCATCAATAAAAAGAAATAATTAGCAAAAGTTTAGCAAAGTTATATATATCAGTCCTTATTTTGTAATAAATCTATTTAGACCATTCATGACATGAAATAACCACCATTCCTGATTATGTTCATGACTGGTTTTGATAAGAGTGACAGAACACTAAATAGCATTATGAGCAGTAACGGTGTACACGCACATTGAAAAAATAAAACAAAAACAAACAGAAAAAAAATTCTTCTCAATGGAATTGCTCTCAGACATTAACATGGTTCACCTACCTTGACCCCTGTGAGCATGCCTGTGGTGCTAACACTGAAATCGAGGTAGGCCAGCATTTCAGGTGTAGGCGGTTTATACATCAGAGGTATTCGCTTTCTGGGCAAATCATCTGGAATTAAAATATATGCAGATTTTATTTTCAGCTAAATCTTGTAAAGACACATAAAATTCTGTAGACATTGTTTGCACTAAAAGAGACTCTGACACATTAAGAATAATAAAAGCTCTATCATAGCTTACAGTCATCTCAATATTGTCCTACTGAAGTCTATAAATAATTTTTAACAACATCAGCTTGCACCTGTATACCCCCATTTTGGACTAGAGCATATCCACTATGGGCCTACTGTTTCAGCAATAACTGTTTCATTCATTAACATACCAAAGTACGTTTTTTTTTACTTATGAAAAGGACTTGAAAAAATTACATTAACCTCTATGAAATCTATAAAGACATAGCCAAAAAAAAAAAAAGAAAAGAAAAAAGCTTGATTTTAAAACATGCACTGCTGTACATGAAAATAAAAAAATTATGTATATATATTCTATAACGTGTTGCTAAATATAATGCACTAATTTTTAGGGTTTTTGTTTTAAATAGGAATATTGCAGTCACTGTAAAATCCTTTTAAAGTCCATTGCTACTTACAAAAAGATTGCACAGTGGCAAACAAGAAAACTGTAAGTCAGTCCAGGAGAACCTTTGCCACCACCATTTTAGAGCAAAGCAATACTGGGAAAATTATAAATACATACGGACAGGGAGCTATATCTCCAATAGACTTTAGGAAAATGTTTTTACGATGAGTACAAAAAGCCTAGGCAAAACTACCTTAGGAAGAAGGAAGTCCTGGTCTTATAACACCTGAAGCCCAGGACTGGTGTTGAGGCCCAAGACTTCCTTCTTCTCTCTGCATCTGCTTTTCTCAACAGGTTGTCAGCCTCACACTATGGAGATGTCACAAGAGTGCAGCAGCCAAAAAAAAATCCAGTAAGCTTTTACAAAAGCATTTACAGAGCCTTCAGCAAGCTTGCTGAAGTTTTTAAAGTTAATGGGAGTGCTGTCTCTTTAAATTGCTAGTGGGTTTCAGTACAACTTTTGCATATGTCTCCTGTGTAATAACAATAAATACCCACCTGTTTCTATGATGGTTGGCCATGTTTTCACATCCACCGCTGCTGCCGCATCTTTGGACTTTAGTAATCTCAATAAAGTTTGTGTCGTGAGAATGCAGGAAGCTTTACTAACCTAATACAAAATCGAATTTTCTATTAACATACAAGAACTGGCAATTTAGCTTTCCTTTCTTAACACATTCAAAACAAAAATTAAAATCAAGAGAGTTGAGGAATTATGAAAAAAAAAAAAAAGAAAAAGAAATAAGAGTCACTATTACCACTACACCACATCAGTCACTTAGGCTCTTAGGCCTAAAGCTGATCTCCACCTTTTGATGTAATTTGCATGGTTCATTTGGTATAAACTGTGTGTAGCTGCAGCTACATATAGCATACCGCACTGTGTTTCGGGAGTGAGATGAGACTTGCACAGTCAAATCCCGGAACATGGTAGTGTCTATCACTGCGGCGCTCAGCCATTCAGAGAAAGCAATGTATTCTATCAATGAAAACAAAGCTTCGTCTGATTGGCTGAGTCAGAGAGGTGGGCTGATGATGTCCAATCAGAGGAAGCTTTGCATTCATTGATATAATAAATCGATGTAAGAACCTCTTTAAGACATTCTGTATATTATGTACATAGGATTATGTTTTCTGAAAGTGAGACTACCTTGTACCCAATACCTCTCATGTGGTCAGACACAGAAAAAATGGGCAGCACAGTGGCTAAATGGCTAGCACTTCCGCCTGGCAGTACTAGGATCGTTGGTTCGAATCCCAACCACGGCACCACCTGCCTGGAGTTTGCATGTTCTCCCTGTGCCTGCGGGTACTCTGGTTTCCTCCCACCCTCCAAAGACATGCTGGTAGGTGAATTGGATCCTGTCTAAACTGGCCTTAGTATGTGTATGTATGAATGTGAGTTAGAGACCTTACATTGTATACCCCTTGAGGGTTAGTGACTGATGTGAATGTATAATATATATGTAAAGCGCTGCGTAAATTGACGGCGCTATATAAGTACCTGAAATAAATAAATAAGCCATCTTAAATCTTTTGTGACCATTATGCACAGTGTGACTTGGAGAAAAATATTGTTGCAAGTTATCAAAGGCTCCCTTGGTTAGGTACAGAATATCTTTTTTTTTTCCCTGACAACACAGCTCCTAAAAACCATGTAAAGTGATCAACCGACAAGGTAATTTAAATTGAATGTAATTATATAAATGCATACAAGGCTGATAATAGTTGTACTACGTCAATTGCAAGTCATATCTCAATTTGATGCCATCAATGCTAACAGTTTGATGTACAAAATATAGAATGATGAAAAATATCTGTCAGAAGAAACTTACATCTACAATCATTCGCACTGTAGGTAAGGTTGCTGTGAGGTTCTGAGCGTGTGGAGGCCGGACCGTTACTGGAATGCAGCAGCATATAAACACCCATAAAATGCTGCAATCAACTCAACTCCTGAAAAGACAAATACGCGTGGCGAAATAGTAAAAACAAATTCACAAGTAAAATCAAATGTGAATGTTGTACACAATTTGAACTCTTTTTTGCATAGGCTTATGAGTTTTACTATCGAAAATCCAGAAGTTCGGAAAAGATTTCTGAAACAATTACTTGGTTCTTAACCTTAGATTGTAAGTTGCTTGAGAGCAGGGAGTGATGTGAATGTACAATATATATGTAAAGCGCTATGTAAATTAACAGCGCTATAAAAGTACCTGTAATAAATAAATTAAATAAAAACATGAAGATCTGTTTATCAATCTCTGATTTCTATTCTTTATTAACCTCTCTATACCCTTATGCAAAGTGACAGTGCAGCTCTAACTATAAAACATAAAATAAGTTCACAAATATCTCATCATAAAGTGTTTTGACCGTCCAACCAGGAACAGTCAAAAAGTGTAGTAAAGATAACACTATAAATCGCCACGGCAGGACCTCCAACCGTTTTTGTCAATGGCACCACTCTATTCCGTGTCTTGGTCCCCACTCTGAGCCACACACCACCACGAGACCAAAATCACGACCAGCAGCTTATGGACGGTCAAAACACAGGGTAAGAGGAAGTGTGGAAGTGGAGGTTCTTCCTCTGTGTGTCCTATCATTTTGAGCACCACCAGCTTCGGCTTATTCATTGAGGAACTTCATGGACTGTCAGCTTTTCTCTAACATACTTACACCATTCATTTGGACTCTTATTTGCACTTTGCGATGAGATATTTATGGACTTATTTTATGTTTTATAGTTAGCACTGCACTGACACTTTGTATATTCATTCTTGATTATATTGTCACCTACAATATTGTACTAGCTGCTTTCCTTTAGGACGAGAACTTTGTGCCCTAGTGCGATTATATTTTTGGTCTACTTTATCTTCATTCCCTAGTCATACAATCCTATGACTTCACAACTGACTTGGACCAATATTCAGCAAGTGAAATCAGAACACCTGCCATGCATACTTGTTCTGGCACAGTAATTTAAGACAGAGGATCGGCTGGCATTTTCCAATTGTAGCCTGAAATGGCAGCCTAGTTATTTCTTTAAGGCTGAACTCAAGGCTAAACATTTGAAAACACACATGGATATATGTGGTGTTTTACCTGCAATTGGCTTTGCAACTATTTCCAGCCAGTCCTAATAGTTGCCTGCCTGACAGCAAAGCTGGTGGCCGGACTTTACCCTACTGCAGTGGTGGGCAACCTTTTTTTTCAACTGAGCCAAATCTCGCCAAAACCACGATTGAAATTTATTTTGAGAGCCACATTTTTAAAACTGAAAATACATCCCCCATATAGTAATTCATCCCCCATAGTAATTCATCCCCCATATAGTAATTCATCCCCCCTATAGTAATTCATCCCCCCTATAGTAATTCATTCCCCCCATATTGTGTCAATTCACTTACCTTTGCTCCGCACGTTCCTCTCGCCGTGTTCCCGCGCCGTTCCGGTCTTCAGGGCGGACTGTGAGAGGAGAGGAGTTCGTCACGCTGCCCCGCCTACATCCTGACAGCCAATGTTTGCCACGCTCAGCGGGCCGGATTAAAAGGTCCGCTGGGCCGTAGTTTGCCCATTGCTGGGCTAGCTGCAGAGTCCTGACTTTTGGGGCGGCCGCCCGAGAGGAGGGAGGGGAGCGGGCGCCCGGCACACAGAAGAGCCGCATTAAAGTATGTAAAGAGCCGCATGTGGCTCGCGAGCCGCGGCTTGCCGACCACTGCCCTACTGCAATTAAACAATACAGCTGGTTCACATCCCTGCCCCAAGCCTGTGACTGGACCATGAAGAAGCAGAATTAGACTGAAGAGGTCCTCACCCTCCTGTATGTTTTACTTAGCAAGACAAAAGCATACAGCACACCTGATTGGCTCCTAAAGCTGCCCCTAATTCTTTCAGTCCAAGTTCTACTGTACTTGGGTTTAGAGGAGGATAACAGCAATACAAATTCAGGTACTTAAAATAGTTGCATAAAATACATTTGTTTTATAATGAGTACATAACTGAATTTATCTGCCTGGAGTGCAATTTAAATAAGTTCTCTTTTAAAATACATAGTTGCATTCACATTTTTTGATGACAAATATGGACAGAAAATGATGACCACTTTAGTGTAGGCAGTGAATAATAAGCATGCCACAATAAATACATAATTTACTGCACTAGCACAGGCAACAGAGCACCCTTACCACATCCTGCAGCAACAAATACTTTGAAGGGTGTTGATATTAGATCCATTATCTGGAACCAAAGGCTAATTTAAACTTGTTGATATTCAAGCTATGTATGGAGTTGGCTGCAATATACTAGGACATTTGACAGACAGGATAGAAAATATGGTTCCACGATGATGGCACTTGCCCATGTATGTTGTCATAATATGGCCAGTAGCACTCTTCAATTCATGATATGGAAGCTGGATTTGGTTACCACACATCAGATGTAAATACTCTGAATGATATGAGTGTCATGATGTATTATTGTACAGATAAATTTTGAACAATTCTGCTTACATACATGAAAAATGAATTATCACTGTAATATTACTGGTGACCTGGTGAATGGGAAAGAAAGTATTAAAACATAGCAGGATAGTGTTACATTTCTGGAGGGATTGATAAATTGCCAAATGACTATAAACCTTTCTAAGGATATACAAATAGGCATTACAGCACTGCAAATTGGTAAATGAGATCAGTTGTACAGATGACTACATGGGGGAAGGGGAATGTAGAAACCAATGACACAAGGGGAACCTGCGCTGGAGACTAGGGAACAGGCTTGGGTAAGAGTTGAAGCAAAGACCATAGGCAGCCTCTACTGGAAGTGTGTTGAATGGTGGAAGTGGCTTAAACGATGCGTTCTTTCAGACTGAGGACATTTGGAGTAGAACAAAGTACTGTGGGTGAAATCTCTCTATTGAAGCAAAGTATTGCAAAAAAAGATATTTTTCATGTTCTCTTTAAATGCTGTTTTACTATCAGTATAGGAATGGGATCTTTACAGTAAATTAAGCCCCATTAAGAAAATAAAAATAAAATGGAAATAAAACATGGTATAATGCTTTTCTTAAAATATATAATTATTTGTAAATTGTACTATACTTTGAATGTTTATGTGAGGTCGAAACAAATTTTTCACCATCTGAGTCACAAAACTGTTCACCCTTCCAGAAGGTTTAGTGCTGGGTTTCTAGACCTGTGGTTGTCAAGTTATGAGGTTTAGGGGGTCCTAAATGTAGCCCATAATCATACCATAGGGTCAAAAGTAATATTCAGTATATGTATTGCCATCTTCGACTGCCAGAGACTGCAAAATACTAAAGACAATAATCAAAAACTAGGGACATGCTATAGATGGAGTCATGCTGTAGGAGACAGAGCCTGGGAACATGTTACATGAGTCTTCTAGAGATCACTACTATTGCAGTCCTTTTCCAAAATCAAACGCACACTGATGACTATCTAATAATAAACATAGTCTATTTTTATTATAAACGATTTTAGTGTACACAAATCCAGAATATGGTTACTCACCAGGAGGATACAGAAGCACCACATTATCCCCAACATTGAGATGCCCTTTCTCCACCAAAGTTGCAGCTATCTTTTCTGCTCTCTTGTGTAATTGCAGACAGGAAGCTGTACAAATAGCTGTTCCCTGATAGCAAAAATAAATAATATCAGAATACCCAGCAGAATTCTCCAATAATAAAATCAGCCATGTACTTTTAGTTTAGCTGCAGCACCTTTCTACAACCTAAGCATTTTAGTATTAACATCACAAAGAGTAAACGATTCTCATGGTATACCTTGGCATTAAGGAGTATGAAGAGAATGTGCTCAGGTGTTGTCTGTGCTCTCCACTGAAGGATCTCAGTCAGGTACTGATGCTGCAAGTGTAACAGTTACATATTAGAAGACACATTTAAATGAGAAAAGTGAACCAGGTGCTGACTAGGAAACATTATTAAAACAGGAAAGACAATGAGGAGCGTTAGCTGAAAAACATTTCCAGGGACATTAATTATCAGCCTTGAAGTATGTCCCGTGTGCTGGTGGTAACCCCAGATAACTCCGCAGTGCTGAGCTTATGGTGCTGTGGGGGGGGGGGGGGGGGGTGGTTAAAATCAGCGGATGTGCCTGTGACAGGTATTTGTGAAAAGTGCCAACTACACCTGCCCTTTCTGCCCCTGTGCTCCATTCATAGCATCCAAACTATAGGTTCCTATAATACAAAGTGTTCACAGAACACTTTGCATTGTGGGAACCTATAATACAAATGCACTGAATGGAGCGTGGCGGCAGAAAAGACGAGCATGCTTGGCCCTTTTTGGCAAGTGCTTGTCAGAGGATCAGCCACTAATAAACCCGCAGCACTGGATGATCACCGCTGAAGGAGTATCCAGAGACAGAGGACAGAGAATTTCTACTGTAAACAGCAGCCACTGACACATTGGACACACTTCACCGCTTACAAGCAGCATCGCTAGTGCTGGTAAAAAAAAAAAAAAAAATCACATTTCAGCTTTAACTGCGGTAAAGAAAAGACAAGCAAACAAACTAGGCTCGGCTGTTGGGTAGGGCTGTGTAAATCTCATGAACCAATAGACCTACTTTAAGTACAAATCCTTTGAAAAGTAAAACTACCATGCATTCATATATTTCGGCTGCCTATTTACTTGTTTGCCTGGATTGCATTTTTAAGAAGTAAACTGCAAATACAGTGAGGAACAGAAGTATTTGAACACCCTGCGATTTTGCAAGTTCTCCCACTTAGAAATCATGGAGGGGTCTGAAATTCACATTGTAGGTGCATTCCCACTCTGAGAGACAGAATTGAAAAAGAAATTCAGGAAATCACACTGTATGATTTTTAAAAAATGTATTTGTCTTCAACTGCTGAACATAAGTATTTGAACACCTAAGAAACAGCAAGAATTCTGGCTCTCAAAGACCTGTTACTGTGCCTTTAAAAAGTCCACCTCTACTCCACTCATTAATCTAACTTAGTAGCACCTGTCTAAGCTCTTTAAAGACACCTGTCCACCCCACAGTCAGTCAGACGCCAACTACTACCATGGGCAAGACTAAAGAGCTGTCAAAAGACACCAGAGACAAAACTGTGGACCTCCACAAGGCTGGAAAGGGCTACGGGGCAATTGCCAAGCAGTTTGGTGAAAATAGATCAACTGTTGGAGCAATTGTTAGAAAATAGAAGAGGCTAAAGACGACTGTCAGTCTCCCTCGGACTGGGGCTCCATGCAAGATCTCACCTCATGGAGTATCACTGATAAGAAAGGAGAGCAATCAGCCCAGAACTACAAGGGAGGAGCTGGTCAATGACATGAAGAGAGCTGGGATCACAGTTTCAAAGGTCACTGTCGGTAGAACACTACGCCGTCATGGTTTCAAATCATGCATTGCACGGAAGGTTCCCCTGCTCAAGTCATCACATGTCCAGGCCTGTCTGAAGTTTGCCAATGACCATCTGGATGATCTAGAGGAGGCATGGGAGAAAGTCATGTGGTCAGATGAGACCAATGTAGAACTTTTTGGTCTAAACTTCACTCGTCGTGTTTGGAGGAAAAGAAGGATGAGTTGCATCCCAAGAACACCATCCCTACTGTGAAGCATGGGTGTGGTAACATCATGCTTTGGGGGTGCTTTTCTGTGAAGGGGACAGGACGACTGCACTGTATTAAGGAGAGGATGAATGGGGCCATTTATTGTGAGATTTTGAGCAACAACCTCCTTCCCTCAGTCACATCATTGAAGATGGGTCGTGGCTGGGTCTTCAACATGACAACGACCCGAAGCACACAGCCAGGATAACCAAGGAGTGGCTCCGTAAGAAGCATATGAAGGTTCTGGAGTGGCCTAGCCAGTATCAGACCTAAATCCAATAGAACATCTTTGGAGGGAGCTGAAACTCCATGTTGCTCAGCGACAGCCCCGAAACCTGACAGATCTAGAGGAGATCTGTGTGGAGGAGTGGGCCAAAATCCCTGTTGCAGTGCGTGCAAACCTGGTCAAGAACTACAGGAAACGTTTGACCTCTGTAATTGCAAACAAAGGCTTCTGTACCAAATAGTAACACTGATTTTCTCAGGTGTTCAAATACTTATGTTCAGCAGTGCAAGACAAATAAATTCTTTAAAAATCATACAATGTGATTTCCTGAATTTTTGTTTTTAATTCTGTCTCTCAGAGTGGGAATGCACCTACAATGTGAATTTCAGACCCCTCCATGATTTCTAAGTGGGAGAGCTTGCAAAATTGCAGGGTGTTCAAATATTTCTGTTCCTCACTGTAAACACAAACAAAAATGTAAATTATTGCAGCTTACCAGTTCTTAGATGAGGTGACTGCACCCCTCTGTATATATGAAGGGAGTCATGATTGCTACCCAAGACTTTAAACATGTCTGTTTTTGTTCACCTCCATTAAATGAGGGTAAAGAGATAACCTCTTTACAAAAAAAAGATACAATTGTTTTACAACTTTCATTTTAACTCACAGGAAGTAAAAAAGACAAAAACATTTCTGGCAAGGTCACAGCTATTTTCTGTACTTGCTGAAATTGTTAGATGACAAAATGAAAACTATAACAGTCACCACATCTAAGACATGGAAAGAACTAAGAAATATTCTTGCCAGACTGTGCAAATTGGGCTGCATGCACTTCGGAAACCCCTACAGCAGTGTTTCTCAACTCCAGTCCTCATGGACCCCCAACAGGTCATGTTTTCAGGATTTCCATTATTTTGCACAGGTGATTTGATCAGTTTCACTGCCTTAGTAATTACCACAGCTGTTTCATCTGAGGGAAATCCTGAAAACATGACCTGTTGGGGGTCCATGAGGACTGGAGTTGAGAAACACTGCCCTACAGTAAGGTTTGTTTTTGTGCAAGTCTAGCCATGTTTAACACTCGAAGGGGTCCATTCACCAACAATATCCCACAGGTTATCAATCCTTGAAATATCACTAGCTTCTGACTGCCAATACAGACAGATAGGTAGATAGATTTGAGAATAGCACTTGTCAGTAACTGGCGTGCCGGCTACTAAGTGCAACTAGCTACCAGTTTTTAAGATTAACTCAATACGATTAACTCCATGCAGCATAATCATAAACGAAGGATTAGGATCACAAAAGATCACAGTGCATGCTGACAGCTAAGCAAGGAAGTTACCGGTGTTATGTTGTTTAAAAAGCCAACCATATGGACTGAAATTCGACCAGTTCACCATGGGCCAGCCGAAATTCAATCCATGTAAGGGCAGGGTGGTTGTACAGAAGTGGATCTACAGATCAACTTCTACACATCCACTCTGTTGGAAATTTCTCCTTAATCAGCACAGCCGGCTATACCTGGCAGCAGCGATCAGTGTATTCTGACGGCAGAAAAATCAGAATACAAAGACTCAGTAGGCAGGATTCCTCCACCCACCTAGAACGTGTGGATGGGGGAATCAAGTCAATTTTGTTTTCGTTTAACTTGCTGGTTGAACAGAAAAAATTAATCATTTACAGGCTGCCAAAGGATTGCAGTAGTATGCTATAATATGAGAGAGATACTTAACAAGTTTCTCCTCACAAGGAAAATACGATGCATTTCAGAAAGTACAAATCTGAGTTGTTACAACATTTTTTATCTTATTTGTTATATGAAGTTCACATTTTTACACGCTTTCACATTTATTTTTTTGTTTTCGTAATAGTTGTAGAGATTTGTAGATCAGCCACCCGAGGCAAGGTAGATTAGCCTATCTGCATGATATGATATTAGTCACACGGGCAGTGCATTGTTTTCAAGGAGAAGGTTGACACAATAGACTGCATTGTGAGAAGGAGCAGCATAGCAATACCACTGTGTAGTACTGTAAAGAAGGGAGCAGTGCCTGTGTTCGTAAAGGGCAAATATGGCTGTTCCCAAGTGTATATATACAATCACAGGTATTGCATAGAAACAATGTAAAAAAAAAAAAAACGAAATACATGCATCAATAAGATCAGTTACATCAAGTTCATCTATTTTACATATTTAAAAAGTGAATGTTTAGTATTATTGATTTTTTTATTCAACAGATTTAGTTACCTTTTTTGCCATGTCATTTTCTTCAATCTGTCCAAGGTCCCTCCCTGATGCCTGAGCTATTCTCTTTCCTGCAACCAGATTGCCAACCATAACAGAGGCTGGACCAACTCCTTCAGGGAAAAAATATTAGGAAGCAGAGGTTAGTGCCTCTTTAAATCATGATACCAAAATTGCTGTTTTTGGTGCACCAAAAATGAGCAAATAAAATTAATGCTTTAATTATGAAGAACCAATCTACAGCAATATTATAAGACACACATTCCCAAATGGGTAACGTAAATAATCTCAATCTTGAAATAAATGGGATGCCCATCATGAAAAAAATGTGCATATGAGCGACACTTGATAGGGCACTGCAGTAGTGTGAATGGGGGCTAAACAATGCAACGTTATATTTCAGAGATGGCTGTTTGCCAGCATGATCTCCCAAGAAAGCAGAAATAAAGTCTCCAAAAGCATCCACAAGAGTTTATCTTCTGCCTCCACACAGTCCTGATACCTGACACCCATAAAACTTGCCAAACAACAGGGTTGCTTTTAAAATGACATAAATTAAAGCTAAAGCCTTTCATAAGTTATAGCTTTGCCTCCTTCCACATCTTGCACTGCCTCTTTTCAGCTTTTAGCTGTGGCAGAAAATAAGAAAGCTTTAGGCAGGCCATGCATTATGCAATTTTCTTTCAACAAACCACAGGATGCAGGACAGAAAATTGCTCAATTACCTCATCAACACAGTTAAGCTTAGTATACACGATCAGAAAATTGTTCGAAAAAGAACACTTTCAAAAAGATTGTATGATAATTTGATTGTTAGTACACAGTTTTCGTCCGAAATTATTAGAAGGGACAAAAACAAAAATATTTCTTGCACGATACCAGATTATATTTTCGTATGATCATTATATCACTTCAGAATTTTTATTCTGTCGTATACGAATTTTTGTAACCTCTTCATTTTTGATACGAGACTAGCGCGCAATGAAAAAAAAAACGGACAATCATTTGTCTGATATTGTCATTGTGTGTAAGGGGCTTAAGTGTTGATGGATAAATCCCTTTCACAGAGCTATTGTCCTCACCCGGTGGGGGAAGCCATCCCCACCAGGAGAAACAAGTGATTACTGACAGCGGCTATAACAGCCGCTAGCAATAATCGCATGTAAAATCCAAGATGCTGGTTGTACCTAAGTCATACAACAATCGACTTGGGTACAATCAGCCTGCCCATAGATGGTTCAAATTTTGACAGGTCCCTGCTGAACCAGCAGAGATTTGAAGCATCTATAGTTAGCTTAAGTGGGGCTTCAAATTTTGCAAATACTTCCTGTTTGATAGTGAATACATGTAAACACCAGGACACACAGCTATCACTGAGAAATAACACTGGGCTGAGCTGTTAACTCATGAAAAGACAAGGTCTGGCTTTCCCAGAGCCCTCCACTCCTCAGCTATGATTTGATACGTTTATATGCATGGTGTGGGGTTCCCAGAAAAGTGGACCTTACATTTTTATACAAGATCTGCTTTAAAGTGTATAAGTGTATGTAAATACTGCCAATGAACTTCTTTTACTTTTGTTCTATCTCTTGACAGTTGCAAGGAAAAAAAAAAAAAAACTGATGTTGCTAAAAGTTCAGAACTGTCCGGAGTCCTCCACACACTTCCTGTGTTGTCTCATAAAGCCCTCCTAGTTCAATTATTGGACTACTGAATGATTAGACTTTATGTTGTAGAGATTTGAGAGTGGGAGTGATTGAACAGTTTATCAAAAGACACGTGTCAGAGCTGACACCACTCAGCCCACAAAAATACTTTGTGCTGTCAGTCCACAGCAGGTATTTTTCTGTACTTGCAGGGTCTTTACAATGAATAAAACAAGGGGAAATGTGCATTTATTGCAGAAATGTACTAAATATTTTTGTTTTCCATTGCATTTGTTATAAAAAAAATAGTGCACTGTGCTGGAGTTCACTGACCCTATAGTGACTGCACGCTTGACTGTTTCAGTTCATTTAGTCTTGGCCTAGTTTCTGGTCCCTGTAGGCCAGAATCTGACTGGTTGCTATAAGCAAAGATGTCCACTTTTCTTTGAAATGGAAAACGGATGCTAATATACATATTAAGTTCACCTGGTTGCTTTTGCCGTGGCTTTGGCAAATTAGTTACACATGTGTGAGGACACATGAGGATGTTACATGGGTGCAAGGTGCCTTCCAGAAAGTGCTGTTTAGTTTGGGATAAGTGGATTCCTCCAAGTGGAGTTTTTGGCAATGTGTTAGCAGGAACAAGAGCAAGACAGTACACTCCCGCTTGGTGGATACTATCGATGGCCTATAAAACAAGAAAAACAATGAATAAATAATGATATCTACAAAAAGCATGCAAAGGTAAAGGTGTGAAAGAACTAAAGTTCAGTTTCCAGGTTAGCACTTCTGTGGCCCTTATTTCCTCCTCATATCAGGTAACAGTGCTCCTGTCTGATGAATCTTATAGACCAGTAGATCATTCACAATAACATTGTTAAGGCTGAGGCTAGGATTTTGGCTACATGCAGCTGAATAACGCTGGATAGGCATCACTAGATTTGATAACCTGGCCTTCTATTCACAAACAACAACAATTGGGTAATACACCGCTGCAATGTAGATTGCCTCTTTTTGGTGATTGTGTATCCAAAATCCTACACAAACCCCAAAAAGGCGCCATAAAAACAGACCACTAAAAGGCAACCAATTCCAGCACACCTGTCTAAAACAGTAAGCCCTGTCTGTGTGAACCTAGGCTAATAAATGGCCACAAATTCATACTGTCAAATCCAAACAGCTGGTCATTGTTGCAGGCTGCACAATAACAACATGGTTAGCAACATGGATAAATTAACTTATTACTGTACATATCTTCCATTTTCATACCTACTCTAGCAAGTCAAGAGTTGGTTTCATTAGATGTGTAGTGGATTGATCATCAAGTTTTATTTATCATATAATCAAAATACAGCACTCAAATATAATATAAAGTGAAAAAAATTATAATAAGCTCGCAAAGTTATGTGCTAACAAGTGGAATAGATGTGATGTCTTAATGAAGACGGTATATAATATAAAGTGGTGGCTGCATCAGGTTTCTATTCTTTGGCTTTTCCTTCCATTTTCACCTGGTGATCTGGCCAGTAAACACACCTTCGGTACTAGTGAGACACATCTCTGGATGAATTATTATTATTATTACATCGAGTTTATACAGTGCCAAAGGGTTTGCTCAGCGCTGTACAATAGAGGTAGGGGACAATACATGAAACAGTACAGCAACAACAAACAGCACACGAGGGGGTTAGAGGGCCCTACTCTTTCAAGCTTACAATCGAGGTGTGTTACCTGATGCAGATACCACATCTAATGATTGCTACTTAAGGTGGATTTCCTTTTGATGCTGATCTTACCTGATGCCAGGTGTAAGCGATACCAAGGAGCAGTCCCCGTTAGCTGAGAGGGTCCACTGAGAGGTCTGGAGTCCAATCCCTGGGTGTGTACCAAGCGCCATCGGAGTGCCACTTCCAGATGACCACTAGTGCCCTTTATATTACATGCGCAATGTTATTGTGCGTCTGGTGAGTGCAAGCACACCTCTTTTTTCTTTATCACGGAAATCACGAGCACCTTATTATTATCATTGATGCAAGTTTAATGGGAGTGATCGGTACCCCCACACTATGGAATACTGATGCACCGTTTGAATACTACAATAATGTTTATGGACTTATATGCGTTTATATATTGCTTTTTTGCAATTTAATGTGTTTTCATGAGACAACATATTGCTGTCAATTTATATTATATACCATCTTCATTAAGACATCACATCTATTCCACTTGTTAGCACATAACTTTGCGCGCTTATTATCACTTTTTTCACTTTATGTTATATTTGAGTGCTGCATTTTAATTATATTTTACAGTGGGGCAAAAAAGTATTTAGTCAGCCACCAATTGTGCAAGTTCTCCCACTTAAAAAGATGAGAGAGGCCTGTAATTGGCATCATAGGTAGACCTCAACTATACCCCTCTATGGCACCCACCACCTCCTCCTATTACTCCACTCTCCCACTGACCCGAACACCTCCACTAGTAGTTTCTCACGCTCCTGCACATCCCGCTCCCATGCCACCTTTCTCATCCTTCTCCTCCTCATAACCGCGGGGACATCTCCCCGAATCCTTGCCCACCACCCACCCGCACAAAACCCTCCCGCCTCCACGTCCTGCCGCAACCCCCGCAACTTAGTATCTGTCCCCCTGCTCCCTAAAATCTCCCCCCCGTTTTCATGTGCACTCCTGAACGCCCGATCGGTGTGCAACAAGCTTACCGCCATCCACGACCCTCTTTGTTTCCCGCTCCCTCAACCTCCTGGCGATTACAGAAACCTGGTTCCAGCCCACTGACTCTACCTCCCCTGCTGCACTCTCCTACGGAGGTCTCACCTGGACCCACTCACCCAGGCCCAACGGTCGTAAAGGTGGTGGGGTTGGCCTGCTCCTGTCACCGCTGAGCACCTTCCGAGTCCTCCCAAACCCCCCCTCCCTATCCTTCTCCTCTTTCGAGGCCCACTGCGTCCGACTATTCTCCCCAACCCCCCTGAAGATTGCTGTGATATACCGGCCTCCTGGATCCCATACCCCCGCTTCCTGGATGACTTCTCCTCCTGGCTACCCTTCTTCCTCTCCTCTGAGCTACCCACTATCATCCTTGGGGATTTCAACATCCCTGTCAACCTCGACAACCCGGACACAGCCCAACTCCTCCACTTAACCTCCTCCTTTGCACTTGCACAGTGCATACAATCCACCACCCACTCCAACGGTAATATCCTTGATCTTGTCTTCTCCAACCGCTGCGCTCCCCACAACCTCACTAACACCCCTTCCCCTCTCTCTGACCACACCTGATTACCTTCTCTATCTCCTCATCCTCCAACGCCTACCCCTCCAAATGTCACACTTCTACCAGCCGTAACCTCCGCAACCTTAACCCTGCCTCCCTCCACTCCGCAGCTGATCAACTTCATGACCGCATCCTCCCCCTGTCCTGCCCCGACTTGGCTATGACCGCCTACAACAATGCGCTGTCAACAGCCCTTGACTCACTAGCGCCTTTAACCACACGCAACATCAGACCCCGACCGCTCCAGCCCTGGCAGACTGATCACACCAAAACCCTCAAACGACACAGTCGTGCCCTGGAGAGCGACTATGGCGCAAAACCAAATCCCAACAAGCCTTCACCCGATACAAATCGGCCTTCCACACCTACACCTCCTCCCTCCATACTGCCAAACAAGCCTACTTCCTGACCCTCATCAAGGCCCTCTCCTCCAATCCTCGCCGACTCTTCTCCACCTTCAACTCTCTACTCTCGCCACCCCCACCTCCACCCAGCACCTAACTCACTGCCCTTGAGATTGCCAATCACACTTCAAAAACAAGATTGACACAATTCGCAAGGACATTGCCGCAACTCACACGCCTTCTCAACCCGTCCCCTCTCACACAGCTACCCCCTCATCCCCCCTCCCCCTTGACATAACCCGCAGGGACTTTGTCGCTTCTCAAACTCCTCCAACCCCCTTCCCCCCCCTCACTCAGCTACCCCCTCTTCACCCCTCTCCCACGGCCCCCACCACTGCTCTGACCTCCTCTCCCACCCACCCTACATTCCTCATACTGAAGCTCCCCAACACTCCGCACCTTTGACCTTACTACCATCGAAGAAGTCTCCAAGATCCTCTCTGATGCCCGCCTCACCACCTGCCCCCTCGACCCTATCCCCTCACAACTCCTACAACCTCCCTCCCCCTCCATCCTACGCTCCCTCACCCACATCTTCAATCTCTCCCTCTCCTCCGGCACTTTCCCTTCCCCTCTGAAACATGCACACATCACCCCCATACTTAAAAAGCCCTCCCTGGACCCCAATGACCCGAACAACCTCAGACCCATCTCCCTGCTCCCATTTACATCTAAACTCCTCGAGCACCTAGTCTACGCCCGCCTATGCTCTCACCTCAACGACAACAACCTCCTCGATCCCCTACAGTCCAGCTTCCGTCCCCTACACTCCACCGAAACTGCCCTACTCAAACTCTCCAACGACCTGCTAACCGCCAAAGCTAATGGCCACTATTCAGTGCTCCTACTCCTTGACCTCTCTGCGGCCTTTGACACAGTCGACCACCCCCTCCTCCTCAAAAAAACTACACTCCCTCGGCCTCAGAGATTCTGCTCTCTCCTGGCTCTCATCCTACCTGTCACAACGCTCTTTCAGCATTACCTATAATGCCACCACCTCCCTCTCACTCCCCCTCTCTGTTGGGGTCCCTCAAGGCTCTGTCCTCGGGCCCCTTCTCTTCTCCATCTACACCTCCTCCCTTGGCCAACTCATACACTCTCACGGCTTCAACTACCACCTCTATGCCAACGACACACAAATCTATCTCTCCACCCCCCACCTCACCCCCTCGGTCTCCGCCCGAATCACACACCTGTTGAGCGACATATCAGACTGGATGTCGCTCCACTTCCTTAAACTGAACCTCTCCAAAACCGAGTTTCTTGTCTTCCCTCCAGCCCGGACACCACCCCCCATTGACTTCTCCATCATGTCCAACAACGCCACCATCAAACCCGCCCCGCCCCGCAGGCCAGAGTACTTGGTGTCATTTTGGACTCCAACCTATCCTTCCAGCCCCAAGTCCACTCTTTAACAAACTCGTGCAGACTCCACCTCCGCAACATCGCCAAAATCCGCACGTTCCTAACTCCAGAAACCACTAAACAGCTCATCCACTCCCTCATCATATCACGACTCGACTACTGCAACTCCCTCCTCACTGGCCTGCCTCGCCGCTGGCTATCCCCGCTTCAGTCCATCCTGAATACGGCTGCCAGACTCATTCACCTTTCCAACCGCTCCGTTTCCGCCACCCCCCTCTGCCAATCCCTCCACTGGCTTCCGATTGCGCAACGGATCAAATTCAAAATCCTAACGCTGACTTACAAAGCTGTCCATCATACTGCCCCGAACTACATCACTGACCTAATATCCAAGTACCGCCCAGCACGCACACTCCGCTTCTCACAAGACCTCCTTCTCTCTAGTTCCCTGGTCTCCTCCTCCCATGCCCGCCTCCAGGACTTCTCCAGGGTGTCACCCATCCTCTGGAACTCCCTGCCCCAACCCATCAGATTATCACCTACTCTCCTCTCCTTTAGGCGCACCCTGAAAACCCATCTCTTCAAGGAAGCCTACCCCGCCCCCTGCTAACTTGCCGACCTCCTCCACTCTTCCTACCACTCCATCCCCCACAGCTATCTCCTCCTGTGCCACCATCCCCTCCCTCCTAGATTGTAAGCTCGAAAGAGCAGGGCCCTCGATCCCCTCATGTTTTGCATTGTATTGGTATTGTTCTGTCACATGTTCTGTTCCCCTCTGTAATGTACAGCGCTGAGCGAACTATTGGCGCTTTATAAATACTGTATAATAATAATAATAATAATGAGAGAAAAAATGAAAAAAAAATCCAGACAATCATATTGGCTGATTTGGAAAGAATTTATTTGCAAATTATGGTGGAAAATAATATTTGGTCAATATCAAAATTCATCTCAATACTTTGCTATATATCCTTTGTAGGCAATGACAGAGGTCAAATGTTTCCTGTAAGTCTTCACAAGGTTGGCACACACTGTTGCTGGTATGTTGGCCCATTCCTCCATGCAGATCTCCTCTAGAGCAGTGATGTTTTGGGGCTGTCGCTGGGCAACATGGACTTTCAACTCCCTCCAAAGGTTTTCTATGGGGTTGAGATCTGGAGACTGGCTAGGCCACTCCAGGACCTTGAAATGCTCCTTCGTTGCCCGGGCGGTATGTTTGGGATCATTGTCATGTTGGAAGACCCACCCAGCCACGTTTCATCTTCAATGCCCTTGCTGATGGAAGGAGGTTTGCACTCAAAATCTCACGATACATGGCCCCATTCATTCTGTCCTGTACATGGATCAGTCGTCCTGGTCCCTTTGCGGAGAAACAGCCCCAAAGCATGATGTTGCCACCCCCATGCTTCACAGTAGGTATGGTGTTCTTTGGATGCAACTCAGCATTCTCTCTCCTCCAAACACGACGAGTTGTGTTTCTACCAAACAGTTCTATTTTGTTTTCATCTGACCATATGACATTCTCCCAATCCTCTTCTGATCATCCAAATGCTCTCTAGCAAACTTCAGACGGGCCCGGACATGTACTGGCTTAAGCAGGGGGACACATCTGGCACTGCAGGATCTACTGATGGTAGCCTTTGTTACATTGGTCCCAGCTCTCTGCAGGTCATTCACTAGGTCCCCCCGTGTGATCCTGGGATTTTGCTCAACGTTCTTGTGATCATTTTGACCCCACGGGGGTGAGATCTTGCGTGGAGCCCCAGATCGAGGGAGATTATCAGTGGTCTTGTATGTCTTCCATTTTCTAATTATTGCTCCCACAGTTGATTTGTTCACACAAAGCTGCTTGCCTATTGCAGATTCAGTCTTCCCAGCCTGGTGCAGGTCTACAATTTTGTTTCTGGTGTCCTTCGACAGCTCTTTGGTCTTCACCATAGTGGAGTTTGGAGTGTGACTGTTTGAGGTTGTGGACAGGTGTCTTTTATACTGATAACAAGTTCAAACAGGTGCCATTGATACAGGTAATGAGTGCAGTACAGAGGAGCCTCTTAAAGAAGAAGGTACAGGTCTGTGAGAGCCAGAAATCTTGCTTGTTTGTAGGTGACCAAATACTTATTTTCCACCATAATTTGCAAAGAAATTCTTTCCAAATCAGCCAATGTGATTGTCTGGATTTTTTTTCTCATTTTGTCTCTCATAGTTGAGGTCTACCGTTGAGGTCTACCTATGATGCCAATTACAGGCCTCTCTCATCTTTTTAAGTGGGAGAACTTGCACAATTGGTGGCTGACTAAATACTTTTTTGCCCCACTGTATGTTGTAGGATTTTAGGTGTTTTCCTCATGCAAACTGCTTTTTGACTATATTTATAGAAGAGCTCGCTTTATTACTTTTATTAAGTTTTATTTATGGTGTTCTGTCCTTCCACCACACTATTAGTTACACTCCAGAACCTCCCCCCCATCCTCTGGAACTCCCATCCCCAAAGTGTCCAGTTATCTCTTACCCTGTCTGCCTTTTGGCAATCCCTAAGAACTAATTTGTTCAGAGAAGCCTACCCTGTCACCACATAAAGACCGTATGCTGACCACCTCCATCAGCTCATCCCCTACAGCTATTACATTTTGTATCACCTCTCCCTGTTTCTTAGATTTTAAACCCCATGTGCAGGGTCCTCTTAAACATTCTGTATTGAACTGTATTGCTGCTGTATTGTCTCCCTTTATATTATAAAGTGCTGCACAAACTGTTGGTGCTCACTGAATCCTGTATAATAATAATAAGTTCCAATGATTGTTTTTATTTTAAGAGAAAGCATAGTGATATTCTGCATTACTTCTATATTAGCAAAATGTGAAATATTGCATGCTAACTTTCTGTATTCTCCTTTTCAGCCAGCAGCTGGAGCTTAAAGGCCTGTATAAACAGGTTTTTTTTGCTTTTGTCCATAGAATCAGTTTGACAAGTTTAGTGCCTATGAAATCATTCAGAATTCACAGACACCGAATGTTCACACAACACTGCCTTGAGGTGGGTGCAGTGAATTACACAAAAATGCATTGTTTCACTACTCATCACATCTCATCTCATGTCACTGTTGCGCAGCTTGGCTGCAGTGCATAAAGACGAAGGAAATGTAATTTTGTGACATTTCAATAGAATTAAAATAAAAATTGGGTTCATAAAAAAAAGAAATACAGTTACATTACTTTACCTGCAAAACACGACTCATCCACTGGAATGAATCTTCTTCAGAGGCATCAGGTCGCTGCTCTGCCACCACCACTATCCTTTCATCATAGAAAACAGTGACCGAGAACACAGCAATTCTGAAATGACAGGACAAACAAAGGAATTCAGTACCCTCAGCGAGATCCCTAATTTACTATCCTAACCAGTAGATGCCATCAGAGGTCAATCACCTTCTGTTGTATATATGCAATGTTAACCTAGCATGGTACCTTGTCTCCTATGTTTCAAACGCTCCCTCTTCATTTTCTATATTTACAGTGAAACATGGCCAAAACATTCAAGCAGGTGGTCCGAGTAAGTTCTCAGTTGAAACCTACAGATGGTGTCATACAAGCAGATTGGTGGTGGGAGCTCTTGCTATAAATGTGCATTACACTTTATGCCACACTTACCTGCTTGAGCACCCTCCTCCAGCTCTGAAGTCTCTTCTGCCAAAAAAAAACCTCTTCCTCCTATCAATCTTTTATTTCATGAGTTGAGTTCTGCTTTGACATTCAGAACTGCCCCTTGACCATGTCAGACATATTACAGCAGTTCACATAACACTATGTACAGTTGCAAGAAAAAGTATGTGAACCCCTTGGGATTACATGGAGTTTTGCATGAATTGGGCATAAAATGTGCTCTGAACGTCATCTAAGTCACAACAATAGAAGAACACAGTCTACTGAACATAATACTACACAAACACTAGATGTTGCCATGGTTTAATTGCACATAACATGTAAACATTCACAGTGCAGGGAGGAAAAAGTATGTGAGGCCCTAGCTTAATGACTTCTCCCAGAGCTAATTGGAGCCAGGAGTGAGCCAACCTTGACTCCAATCAGTGTGATGATAATGGATGTGTTGCTGACAGCTGTCCTGCCCTTAAAAAACACACACTACTGGTTTCAAGAAGCACTGTCTGATGTGAACCATGCCTCGCAGAAAAGAGCTCTCAGAAGACCTACGATCAAGAATTGATGACTTGCATGAAGCTGGAAAGGGTTACAAAAGTATCTCCAAAAGCCTTGATGTTCATGTGTCCACGGTAAGACAGACTGTCTACAAATGGAGAAAGTTTAGCACTGTTGCTACTCTCCCTAGGCGTGGTCATCCTGTAAAAATGACTGCAAGAGCACAGCGCAGAATGCTGCATGAGGTAAAGAAGATCCCCCAGAGTGTCAGCTAAAGACCTACAGAAATCTCTGGCACATGCTAACATTTTTGTTGACACATCTACAATAAGGAAAACATTAAACAAGAATGGAGTACATGGGAGGACACCACGGAGGAAGCCATTGCTGTCCAAAAAGAATATTGCAGCACGTTTGAAGTTTGCAAAAGAGCACCTGGATGTTCCACAGCACTACTGGCAAAGTATACTGTGGACAGATGAAACCAAGATTGAGTTGTTTGGGAAGAACACACAACACTATAACACTATGTGTGGAGAAAAAAAGGCACAGCACACCAACATCAAAACCTCATCCCCACTGTAAAACATGGAGGAGGGGGCATCATAGTTTGGGGCTGCTTTGCTGCCCCAGGGCCTGGACGGATTGTTGTCATTGATGGGAAAATGAATTCCAGAGTTTATCAAGACATTTTGCAGGAAAACGTACGACCATCTGTCCGCCAACTGAACTGTTGGGTGATGCAACAGTACAATGACCCAAAGCATACAAGTAATTCAACAAAACAATGGCTGCAAAAGCACAGAATACGCCTTCTGGAGTGGCCCAGTCAGAGTCCTGACCTCAACCCGATTGAAATGCTGTGGCATGATCTTAAGAGAGCGATTCACACCAGACATCCCAAGAATATTGCTACACTGAAACAGTTTTGTGAAGAGGAGTGGTCCAAAATTACTCCAGATCGTTGTGCAGGTCTGATCTGCAACTACAGGAAACGTTTGGTTGAGGTTATTGCTGCCAAAGGAGGGTCAACCAGTTATTAAGTCCAAAGGTTCACATACTTTTTCCTCCCTGCACTGTGAATGTTTCCATGTTATGTGCAATTAAACCATGGCAACATCTAATGTTTGTGTAGTATAATGTTCAGCAGACTGTGTTCTTCTATTGTTGTGACTTAGATGACGTTCAGAGCACATTTTATGCCCAATTCATGCAAAACTCCACGTAATCCCAAGGGGTTCACATACTTTTTCTTGCAACTGTATTATACAGCAGGAAACATTTTATCTGCTGCTAATGTACTATAAACTTTACATTATGTTGAACAATTGAACTTTTTTTTCTTCAATGTGCACTCAGAGAGATATACAAGGTAATCTCAGCAAAATAACTTCCAAAAAACAATAAACACAGATGTTCAAGGAATACAATAGGTGAGACTTTGACATACAAGGGATGTCTGCTGTAATGGAAAAGTTATTTTCTACATTTTATCCATCTAGTATGTTTTACAAAATAACCTGGTTCACTGCCATGCTTTATAATGTACACAGGCCTATTCCCAATAAAAACTTGGCCAGACCTGAGCTATTGTTGCAGAAAATGGGATAAAGCCAATGTGCACGCATGGTTTAGTTTAACAATATGGACTACACACACACTGCAGAAATTTTAGTTAAAAGGGCAATCATAGAGGTCAGAATTTAGGTAGGCTCCTGGCAGGATTGTAGGGGGGTGGTGAAATTATACATTTTAAAACAAAACAGCATGATTTGATGGAATACCTACAAGATAAACATCATTACCTTCCTCTGTACAAGGTTTTAAATGACTCCACGGCCAAAGCAGTTGCTACAATGTCATCCGCATTGTGCCGCCGTCCGCTCACCATCAGAGTCCCGTCCATTTTTCCTACTACAAACACAAGGCTTCCCTGTAAAAACACAGAACTAATTATTATCCTATGTTTAGTCTGCAAACATGAGGGAGCCGAGGATGACATCAGTCAGTCCAGCTGTTCAAATCAGTGGAATTTTATGGCCAGTAAAGGAAATAATGAAGATAACATTTGTAAATAAACATAAATGTAACAATTTGGGTGGGGGACTTCCAGTTATAAGCAATACAAAAACCTTGTATCAGTTTGCTCCCTCTAGTGGTGATATGAGGTTTGTTTCTCATCTCTTGGCAACTCTTCCCATACTGTCCTACTTTATTCACACAAGACAGCAAGTACGGCAGGTCTGGACATAGGCCGGGACTTTTCATGTTAAAGGTGGGTAAATGATGCTTGAACCGCCCCACTACCTGGCAACCAATCATTTGCTTCCTAACATGAAAAGCCCGTCCTATGTCCAGACTTGCTGTGCTTTCTAGCTTGTGTGAATAAGGTAGGACAGTGTGGGGAGGGGGTAGTGCTGAAATGTTATGAAAGGGAAAGACCTGCTGCGCCTCCCCACACTCCCCTTCCTTGAGGATAATAGCGGCAGGGGGGGAGGACATTCAGGCAACTATTTTGTGAGGCTGATGTCCTGAAAGGAATGTTTCTGGGTCCGGATCCAAACCGCGGTCCACCATTCAGCGATGCCTTCTGTAGAGGATCAGTGAGGAACCACTGAATGCAGCATTAATTCGAGATACTTTAAAAACAATACTGTCATGCGCCACTTCATTCATGTCTTTTTTAGCAAATGCCCACTGCAGCAAAAAGCTTGGACTCCAGATCTGGCATTTCACACAGATACCTAAATAGTTAGATATATAATTGTACTTTTTTGAAAAAATCTACAAAAAGCACATGAAGTTTTTTTTTAACCTTAATGCATTCTCTGCATTAAGGTAAAAAAACCTTCAACTCCTCCCCCAGCACCCTTCCTCTCCTCATATTTACCTGAGCTCATCTCAATCCATCGATGTGCAAGAGAGCAGTGAATATCTTAGCTCTCTCCATTCTTATAGGCTCAGAGACAGCAGTGGGAGCCATTGATACCTGCTAATGTTAATCACAACCAGTGAGGAGGGAGCAGGGGTGCAGGGCCAAGACACACAATGGACACACACAGCATGGATCGGGAGTGAGCCTACATGAGTAGGCTCCAGCTTGCTATGGGGTCACTCAGCAGAGGGGAGGAGCACTGACTAGGGACCCGAGAAGAAGCTGATCAGGGCTGCACTTAGCAAAACTGTTGCACAGAGCAGGTAAGTATAACATGTTTTTTATTAATTTAAAAAAAATAAATAAAAAGGTTCACTTTAAAACAAGAACAAGCTGACTCCAAGGACCCAGAAAAAAAGCTTTCTGCCACTTGGAGCCATAGCATGACAATGCTGAACTGTGCCGATTTATATTGGAACGATTCCTAAAGGAAGGCATGCATTTATGTATACAGCTTTTACCTATTTACTACAGACCATTGCAATACTACTTACAGGTCCTACAAATCCCAGTAATCCAGTCCTTGTGAAAGGAGTATCTCCGACTAGGGTCCCAGTCGCGCTAACTGGTAAGACCTGGAGAAAAGAACACAATACCATGGAAGACCATATAGATTAGAACAGCAATAAAATCATACTTGGAAAACTGACCCCAGTCTGTGCAGTCAGCTTAGTCTATCAGCTTTCTTAGGAGTCCACCATCCAATATGTATACTTTACCTGAGGTCTCGGATCCCCTACTCTGAGTCTACCATTACTTCCCTGGGAATTCTAACCTCCGTCTCTTGAAACATAACTAATTTCTATCTGATCTTTTGCGCCCTGTATAAATTTAGCTCAACCAACACCACCACAAGTAATATGACTCTGGTAGAGCTGCAGACATCAAATTGCTTATATGATTTATGTCAGTCACTTCTACTCTATTTCATTCCATCAGCTACTACAGGCATTCCCACTATCAGCCTGACTGGTAATTTCAGCTGATGTGAAAAGCATGATGTCTAAAGGAGAGCGTGCCTGCAGCTACATATAATAACATTATATATAACATTTTGTTGGGCTCATGCACACAAAGTGAATTTCTGCATTCAGAGACCTACATCCATAAGAGTGTGCGTAAAGAAAAGTACCATCATTTGCATGCCTTTAGCTGAGTACAGCCTTATTTTGCAATTCACTTTTATAGGCAGAATTGCATAGCTGGGGCTCCTGGGAGCCACAAATGTAGGCATATTTTGTGCTGTATTGCCATATACCTGCAAATACATCCCTGTGCATGAGCCCTAAAATTTGTTTAGCATACAACTGAACTAAATGAAATGATTTAGAAAAACAGTAAAGACGAGCGCATTCACACAGCTGTCAAAAGCCAAGAGTGAACCTGTCATGTGTACTGGGCTCCAACATGGATCATGCCGATTCATGGCTAGTGAATGTGAAAATATCAGCCAATTTGCTGGATGGATACAGTTCAGTTATAATCATCATTTCGGGATACCTAAACATAGGTAGTACACCTCTCCATCACCAGTGTTATTTATATCTATCCCTTTTTACAGATATATTCTTCCTGATGTAAAACAAAAAGGAGAATGGGACTGTTTCATGACAATATCCTATTGTCCTGGAAATTAAGCTTGAAGGCTCTCATTACCAGAATCCAAAGGTAGCCAAAAGAAGCTGTTTGTTGTTTCAACAAACCAGAAATTATGAAAAATTATAAAAAAACTCAACAGTATTGGATGGACCAGTCCTCTTAAACTCAGTTGTGTGGAGTCCTCAGCTTGCGTCATAGGCTACAGTACTGTGAAAAAGTATTTACCCCCTTTCTGATTGTTTCTTTTTTTTTTGCATATTTGTCACAATTAAATGACTCAGATCATCAAATTTTAATCTTACACAAAGATAACCCAAGTAAATACAAAATGCAGTTTTTAAATGATGATTTCATTTATTAAGGGGAAATAAATCTGTCCAAACCTGCCTGGCTCTATGTGAAAAATAATTGCCCCCTAAACCCCTGCTGCGTAATCCAAGTGTGCTTGAGCTTGAGGTCACAAACTGATGGCCGGACATTCTCCTTCAGGATTTTCTGGTAGAGCGCAGAATTCATGGTTCCATCAATTATGGCAAATCGTCCAGGTCCTGAAGCTGCAAAGCAGCCCCAGACCATCACATTACCACCACCACCATGTTTGACTGTTAGTATGATGTTCTTTTTATGAAATGCAGTGTTGGTTTTACGTCAGATGTAATGGGATGCACACCTTTCAAAATGCTCAACTTTTGTCTCGTCAGGGCACAGAATATTTGCACAAAAGTCTTGGGGATAACAAGATGTTTTTTGGCAAATGTGAGACAAGCCTTTATGTTCTTTTTGGTCAGCAGTGGCTTTCGCCTTGGAACTCTCCCATGGACGCCATTTTTGCCCAGTCTCTTTCTAATTGTTGAATCATGAACACTGACCTTAAAGCAAGGAGGGAGCAATAACTTTTTCACACAGGGCCAGGCAGGTTTGGACAGCTTTTTTCCATTAATAAATTAAATCATTATTTAAAAACTGCATTTGATATTTACTCGGGTTATCTTTGTGTAATATTAAAAAGTATTTGATGATCTTAAACATTTAAGTGTGACAAATAGGTAAAAAAATAAGCATAAGGAACGGGGCGAATACTTTTTAACAGCACTGTATATGTACACCATACAATAACAATATTGCTTATGAAACTGACATACCTCAAATGTATTCTTTGTGACTCCAGTCAATCCATAGTAGGAAATTCCTCCTCCTCTATAACTGACACAGATCTCACCAATCTCATCGTTTTTTACATAACTGAGGCACACCTTCGGGCTTTATTATACACATCACACCTTAAAGAAATCACAAAAGGTTTACTTTAAAAAGAAAATATTATTTCAATAATACTAAGTGTACACAAAATGTAACATTTGTATATCACAGTTACTATACCTGCCTGTCTAATTCCTGAATGTACATTTTGCATGCCCTATCATCCCACCTCTCCCCCATACTACATGCTTAAATCAGATAGCTCTGATGCTCTGTGACCTGTGCAGCACTGCATAGCCTTGCATTCCCAATTGCTGGCCTTGCCCTGTCTACATATGTACAGTTGACTTCATTAGAAAGCCCAGGGCAAGTGAAGTGACCTACTGGGAAGATTTCCAAGCAGAGATGTACAGTGCTATGCACCCCACCCCTACCCCAAAGAGTGCCAGATATCTACACATGGTTTGTCTTATCCCTGTAAACTGATACATCTGGAATATAGCTTGTGCTTTTGAAAAACAACAGACTTACTGGCCAGATCACCAGATGAAAATAAAGGAAAGAAAGCCTAAAAAAGAAAACTAATGCAGCCATGGGTTTTAAAACTGCTTTAAGGCTACATTTGCACACACACATTTGCCCACAGAGCAAAAAGACACTGTTTAATTTTGTTCTTCTGGATGGCTTAGAGCTGCATATAGCCTCCCATAGACATGAATGGGTGGAAGCACCTGTATAAAGATATATGCGTAAGGTAGCGTATGCACATAGACATAATGCATTCTGTATTTATACGTGACTACTTTACGTGTCAGTGTCTTTATGGTGTGCAGGCAAATGCGTCCATGTGCATGTAGCCATAAAGTTATTTATCCTTAAACATACACATCTTAATACGTGATAGAAACACAATACCTACTTAACTCTTTTCCTGTTACAACCTTAAAGTGTCACTAAAGTCAAAGCACTTATTTTTTGTTTCTTTCCTATTATTTTGCATACAGTAAGAGAGAGTTATAACCCCTATCAGGTTTTTTCTGCCATCTGTGTCTCATTGCGTAATTTCTTTTCACTTCCTGTCCCATAGCCAAAACAGGGGTGTCACCAGAACTCGTATCCCCATAGGAAGATTTTCCGTTTATTTCTGTTCTGATGTCAGCCCAGAGTTTGGGAATTTTTTTTACTTTAACTATCAATAATAGTAAACAGGACAAAAAGAGAGTGTAACTTTTCCTAATGGGAGCACAGACAGAAATAAAAACTGACAGGAGTTTTAAACCCTCTCCAATCTATTCAAAACTAAAACAAAAAGAATTGTCTTTAGTGACACAAGCTCACATGGAAGAAACTATCACTTCAAGAATGCAATGGTTAGTCACCGGGATTATAGACGATCTGCAAAAGTATTCAGAGTATATTTCTACTCCCCTGCCCAAAGCACAAAACTAGATTTACCAGAAAATAAGATCACCTAGTAAGTAGTATTAGTGTGTAAGCCATGTCACATTGTATCTGTCTACAGCAAAACTTAACTGACATGTCCTGGTCAGAACAAGGGTCTGTAAAGGAAACAATCACAAAGAAGTATACCACAAACTGAGGTGCTCACCTCCTGGCATTACATGTCCAACATCTTGCACTGTGAGAGCAGAATTCTTGTCTTCTGTATTCACCCGAATAACACCATAGCTCAATCCATTCATAGACAAAATTGCTCTTCCTGGCAGGGGAGCACCAGGTACTCCTGGCCTATAATGGCAATATAGAATTGAATATATGATATATTGATGATGATATATTTTATGTTTTTTTTATATAAAGCTTGGACGATTTCACTGTTCAACAAATTTTTATTTTTTGCCAGTTTTGGAAACAAAAGGATCCATTTCTTAATGAATTTCACATTCTGAATTCAAATATAACAATGAATTTTGTCAATTGGCTCTAGTTTTTCTGTAAACGGAAAGTTTTCTACTATAGGCGTAATGACTACATAATGCACAATAATTATATAAATAGATGTCTTTCCACAAATATAAAGCAAGTGATATTGACTACATAACAAAGCCTAAATGGCATAATATATTGCATAGGATTACCAAGAAAAATTATAGCCATAAGCTAAGTTGAATCATTTTAATACTTAGGATTCTCACTAGTTTTGTCTTCAGTTTGTGTCGGTTTTGCTTCTCTTGGCTTTTCTCTTGTATTCGAGGAAAGGGCTATCTCTTACAACTGTCCAGCAATAGTCAGCAAGCATTGATGGGCTCCATTTACCTTGATATCTTCTTTCCATAGCTGCAATGTCTTGATGGAAGCGCTCCGTGTTCATCACTCACTGCTCCACAGTTTGGTGGGAAAAAATCCAGATGTGAATGTAGAAAATGAATTTTTAGAGACATGTTGCAACCCAGATTTCTGTAAGTCTGGATGAGTTTTTCTACCACTTTCTTGTAGTCTGGTGTTTTATTGTTTCCAAGAAAATTTGATGTCACTGATACAAATGCTGTCCAGGCAGCCTTTTCCTTTCCACGCAACAGAGAACGAAACTCATCATCATGAATAAGTTTACGAATCTGTGGCCCAACAAAGACTCCTTCATTTATTTTTGCAGCACTAAGTGCTGGAAATTTGCTAATCAGGTACTTGAAACCTGCTTTATTCTTGTCCATTGCCTTAACAAAGTTTTTCATTAATCCCAACTTGATGTGTAATGGAGGTAATAAGATCTTATTGCTGTCTACAAGTGCTGGATAGTTAACATTTTTTTCTCCAGGCTGCAATGACTGGCGTAATGGCCAGTCTCTTTTGGCATAGTGCATTTCTCTCGCACGACTGTCCCACTCACAGAGGAAGCAGCAGTACTTAGTATATCCACCTTGAAGTCCAAGTAGGATAGCAATCACCTTCAGGTCACCACAAATCGACGATTGATGTTCATCATAGTTGATGCGCCTTAAAAGCTCTTTCAAGTTTTCATACGTTTCTTTCATTGAAACTGCGTAAGCAACTGGAACTGACGGCAGCTGATTGCCATTATGGAGCAAAACAGTTTTAAGACTCGCCTTTGAAGCATCAATGAACAGCCTCCACTCATCGGGATCATAGCATACGCCGATGGCTGAGATTAAACCATGAACATTGTTACATACAGCAATATCACCTTCCTGGACGAAGAATGGGATCAGATCTTTCTGACGATGACGGTAGAAAGACGTACTAACATCACTTGCTAGGAGATTCCACTGTTGTAGTCTTGACCCCAAAAGCTCTGCCTTGTTCTTCGGAAGATCCAGGTCTCTGATAAGATCGCTCAATTCCACTTGTGTAATGAGGTGTGGTTCAGTGGGTGTGGATGGAAGAAAGTCTGGGTCATGTGAGGTTGACGGTTGATGACTACACGCTTCAGGTTCTTCCTCACTTGACTCAACCACGAAGGATTCTGGTGCTTTAGGAATTGGTAGCCCCTCTCCATGAGGAACTGGACGTATTGCCGATGGAATATTTGGATAGTGCACAGATAACTTTTTCTCTTCTTATTTAGCCCTTTTGTTGGAGGCACCATACAAAAGTAACAATTACTAACATGATCTGTTGGCTCTCTCCAAATCATTGGCACAGCGAAAGGCATAGATGCCTTTTTTCCATTCAACCATTGCTCCAGTGCCGTCCCACAAGAATTGCAGCATATATGTGGTGCCCAGCTCTTGTCCTGGTCTCCTATCTTGCAGCCAAAATACAAGTTGTAGGCTTTCTTAATCATTCCTGTTATCCTCCTTTTTTGTGAGATAAAAGTTATTTCACCGCAGATATAGCAGAAATTATCTGCTTTATTCACACAAGTTCGAGGCATTACTGAGTAGCCTATATAAGCATAAAACGAAATGTAAAGACGCTGTCGAACTACAATCAGCTACAGATACTGCAGCTTTTATGCAGTGAAGTGATGCAATTAAAGGCTAATATTGCATCATCTCAGTATACATGCAATTTTCTATTGGTCACCAGTATCAATTGCGCAATATGCAGCTGAAGTTGCATCATAATTTTGAATGGCTTATGTCATTAGATGGGTGAATATATCATGGAAACTAGAGCCAATCAACATTTTTTAGGGTCATTTTCGTTTTCAGCACCCCAAAATTATGTAAGATTAGCTAATTTTATGCCCAAAACGTTTTTACCTGTTGAACAGTGTTTCCAGTACAGCTTTAGGGGCACATTGAGCTATTCATATTAGTACCTATATGCCCCCAAAGAAATGTAAAGTGATGTCATGAGAGATATATGGGGGCTGCCACTGCAGGCTTCCTTATGAAAATGGTAAATGCCTGGCTGTGCTGATAACAATATATTTCAGTCACATTCCTAGAACAGGCATACTGTAAATGAATGTCAGAAAAGTGTCAGAACTACGTATATTTGTTCAGGGCCAGCGAGTCAGACAGTACTAAAGTCAAAGTGACAACCTGGGAATTATTATTCTCAAAGGGAAGATTAACAAGGGTAGTCTACATTAATCTATGATAAACAGTGTCCCTTTAAATGCCTTATCCTGGGTACATACACATTCAGTAAGTAGGGCCAGTTTAAGATAGTGGTATGTTTGTGGATTGTAGGAGAAACCTAGAGCACCCAGAGAAAACCCACATCAAAACAGGGGGAACAAAAGCACTATGTGCACAGGGTTACATTGGTGGAAATCAAAGCAGGATTGTAGAGCTGCCAGGCAAAAGTGCCAACTACTTAATCACTGTGCTGCCCAATTCACAGATGCATATGTAACAATGTCAATGTAGAATACCGTAGACCAGGCCTAAAAATTTCTGCACGAATATGACGAGTGGAAATAACGTGGGGGCGAGTGTGTCCGACAGAGCCGCCTGTACATCGGAGCTGGGAGCCCTTAGACTGCTGAATACGCTGAGCAAAGCGAGGGGGAGTGTCTGCTGTGCTCTCTGCCTCCCCCTAGAGTGCAGTACCCACCTGTGTGATGGAAGGTAATGTACTGAAAGAGTGAGTGTGAGAGTAAATAGAAATGTTGATAATAAATGAGCGCTGGTAATAAATGGTAAAAAGCAGCCAGCATCCAGAGGAAAACCTCAAATACCTCCAATGTGAAAACCAATGTACAAACATAGGATGCGGCACTAAGAGAAGTCACATAAATTAATGTTGTATAATTCTAGCATCAGGAGAATAAGTCCTTAGGAAAAACCAATACGGTGCAGCGTGACAATGGTGATGAATAAAGCATGAAGAAAGTGACTTTCGTGGCTGCCGTGGCTTATGGAAAATGAATGCACATTGCACTATCCAGATAGCACAAGTATTGTGCGTTGGAGTAAATAAGACCTACTCCACGGTGCTCAGGATTTGCATTGCATTGGAGCATTTTTTCTTTTGGGCTCATTATTGGCACTTTTGAGCCCCCTTCCCCTAAGGTGCTATATCACATTGGATCCATGCTTGATTGTGGGATCCCTCTGGTGGCCAAGACTGATATTGCTGGATACTGCTATACCTGGTCTGCCTGATGTGGTGATATTGGAGAGTGGCAACCTGTCCTGGATAGATGACACCTGGTGGTTAATCCCTGCCTGATGACTTCATCCCTATACAGAGTTCCCAAATCCTGAGCACCGTGGAGTAGGTCTTATTTACTCCAACGCACAATACTTGTGCTATCTGGTTAGTGCAATGTGCATTCATTTTCCATAAGCCACGACAGCCACGAAAGTCACTTTTGTCATGCTTTATTCATCACCATTGTCATGCTGCACCGTATAGGTTTTTCCTAAGGACTTATTCTCCTGATGCTAGAATTATACAACATATATTTAGAGTGTGTGTGTGTACACAGGTGGTTTGGACAGGTTAAGGATTATGTGGTTAATATGGGTATTATGGGTGGTAGAGTATGGAGCATTTGAGTTACTGCTGGGTTGGATAGAAGGTAGGATATGCTTGGTAAAGTTTAGTGAGTGAGAGATTATGGGGGTTATGGTTGTATGTGGTGCATGGTCTAAGTATGATGGAGTGTTTAGGGGGACATTGGGGACCCTGATGTAATGCAGGGGAAATCTAAGGACCCTGATGTCATGTTGGCAGACTCTGTGGACCATGATGTAATTCAGGGGGGACTCTAAGGACCCTGATGTAATGCGGGGAACATCTAACAGTGTCATTTCATGAGATAATTTTGGAGGGTGTGATTAGGGACAGGGCAGGGTAGGGGTTAGGTGGGGCAACTGGTGGTAAGTAACTCTTAAGGCCTGGCTAGTAGCTCAAGACTTAAAATTCTGAGCCCTGTTGTAGACATTCAACTCAAATGAAAATAAAACCTAAACTTACACAACAAATTTGAGGGATCTCACATGTAAATACTAAAGTATTTCAGCAAGGTTAATGTTAAAGGTGTTCTTGGCATTTTAGAAACATTAGAACCACATCAGGTATACTTTAAAATAGTTTTCCTGTGAAGGCTGAGCCAGCCAATTCCAACCTCACCTTCGAATGGCTACTGTCATGGCTTCTGGAGATGTGGCACATGGGCAAATTGCTTCAGGTTTCAACCCGTAATTTTGAAAAAGACTCAAGAAAGCATCACAGGACGAGACAGACCCTGTAAGTGAATCCACACAAATATGAATACTAGGTTATTTAGCTGCAAGACTGACCTATCAATTCTGGAAGTCCAAACTGGAGATCATTAAAACAGATAAAAAAAAGTAATAGCACAAATTACATATCAAAACAGTGTTCTATATTTTAAGGACACCAAACAGAAATAGATGGAGAGTAGCTTTCTTGGAGCTGATGTATGAGTGCTTTATGAAAACAATGTTTGCATCCCTGATAACACTGATAATATCTCTGACACCAAATGCAAACTAGCCCTAACAACTGCACCCTGGATATGAAGGTTAGTGGGGAACTTTGCATGGAAAAAAAAAAGCATGCAGGCAATGGTTTTACCAGCAGATGTCTGCAACTGGAATGGCCACAGATTTACTTCCAGGTAGCCCACAGTCATGAGATGATTGCTATCTCAGTTGGAAAACATTGCTAAAGTTGGTTAAAATGAGGCAGGCGCCTACAATTAAGTTGACCATTCATGGTTTGCTTCAATAAAATAGCCATCAGTGTAGATTCCCCCATTACTTTGTTTTGCGTGGGTAAGAGAATACAAGTGTGTGTGGCTAGCATTACCTTCTGAGTAATAAACATGAATGCTTAGCTAAGAGGAATGCCCAAGTTTATGCCCAGACAGCTACAGAAAATAATGTTTTGTATCATCACACATGATCTGAGCTTAAGGCTGGGAAATACAATCAGTAAGAGACTTGTTTTCCATAAAATTTTCTATTTCTTATAATGAATTACTGACTATAGAAAGGTCAGCACTTTTGAAGCAGCTATTGCAAGCAAAATCCCCAAGACTGATTAGGCATGGCAGAATGCTGCTGTTGTCTCTCAAGAATGCACCCTTATCATTATCATAGAAAATAAATGTCATGACACATACACGGATTAGCACCATCTGTCACAATGAGCATGCGGAGTGAGGCCAAACTGATATCCTTCTGTTCTCGATGTGCGATCATTGCCCAGTGCAGGTCCCGACATTTCACTACAGCAACCCTGGCTGGAATACAAGAAATAACAAAGACTTATTCATGGCTTTATCAGTGGCTGTCTTCACAAGCAATATGTGTTTCCTTCAATGCTTTATTTTTGCTAAATGAAAACCATAAAATGCCAGCATATCAGCAACACATCAATTAAGCAGTCATAGAGTCTGACACCCATGATCTAAAATTAAATCACTTGTGATAGAGAAACTGGAGAACTCTATTCGATCTAGCTGCTTCCTCTTCAAGATAGTAAAGCACTAATCTCATATTTAATGAAAGCTTTGTCCATGAAAATGATTTAAAACATTGTCTGAAATATTATCCATATCCATTCCACGTTTCCCTGCATTTTTGCTCTACTCCTACAAAAAAAATTGTATGTTGGGGCCATCCTGTTACACTGCCTGGCTGTTTCCAGCTCACAAGTCCTCATGCCCTGGTAATGTGACAAGACAAGGACAACAACAGCTCAACCACAGCCTGATTTTTAGTAATGTGGTTGTGAGATTAAAGTGCCCCATGGGGAATCTTGGTTTGCATTACATTGATTTATGTGAGCTAGCATATATGGGATTTTTCCTCACCTGGCTCAATGGTAGATTTCAGTCATACAATGTCACACTTTAATTGCATAGATGAAAATTTGAATGATTGATCTCCCCTATCGATCTTAGAAATTGAACAGCCCGTTCATGTTAATGAGTTTTTTCTTTTCTAGTAAGCCTTTGCAAAATAACGCTCATAAGAATTCTGTCAACAGCCGCCCAACAATCTTCCACAACATTATAAACAAGTGATTTCTAGCTGATGAGAAGAATCTCAGAGACTGAAAAGTGGCTGTGTGTATTTAGCCCTAAAAGCATTCTTTCATTGGCAATTTAATGGCCACTACTGCCATGGCAAGACGTACAGCAAGTTATAATAACTGTCACTTGGAACAAAAATAGTCAACTCTCTAAACGTCAGTGACACAAAGTAAACAGCAGCTGGATAAGCAAAGCAGACAACCAAACGGTACTTTAAGCAGAACATTATGTAAGAAAAAAAATGGCAACCAAGCAGGATTTTAACACAGAAGATACATACTAGGTCTCTCCTGCATTAAAAGTCCATTACCGGTCTGTATGCCCTGTACAACCTGCAGCTCAGAGTACAAAATTGCAGCAATGCTGAGATAAATGAACTTCCGCACATGTGTGGGAGTGATTCAGCTGGACCAATGAAAATGGCTAAAGATCTGTACAAGGAAGCTGATCCGACCAAAGATGACAGCAGCATCTGGGGAGCTAAGGGAGACTGCAGAGTCTGCTTTTAAGCTGGCTATACATTATACAACTTTCTTGTACAATTTCCTTTAGATTTACCTTCAACTATGTAGTGCAAGGGCCTAGCTGATTGAATAGAAATTGAAAGCGTTGTTTAGTTTTGACCTCATGTTATATGGTTTTAGGTAAATCTAAAGGAAAATTATACAAGAAAATTGTATAATATATGGCCGGCTTAAGTGGACACTTGCAACTTTTTTTTTTTTTCTTTTTAAGAAGAATGCTGTGGCTTTCTCCCTTCTGGCCTCGGTAAGAATGACCGAGCCCCAGCAGGAATCCTGCACATGTGCTGCTAAGTATCAGTGCGCATATGCTGTGGTGCATCATCAAGGGGTAGTCAAGAAGAGGAAACCAACCCTCTGATGATGTAGGAAAAGAAGACTGCAGTTCAGGATGCAGCAATGGAGCAGAGGATTACAGTCGGCAATTACTGGATTGTTGGGTAGGTCAGTGTGTTATTTTTAACTGGAAAACTCAATAGACAAGAAAAAGATGAGATAGAGGGGAAAAAGATTTTAAGGAGGGAGTGAAATTTCTTTTTAATGGAAAATCACAACTTAATGGGGTTTATAATTATAATGGTAGTGTACAGTATATCAACCTATTTTTCTATTTCACATGGCTTTACTTATATTTTACTTTTTGCCTTTGCATGCAATCCAATCTGGGCAGGAAAAGTGTTCATTACATGGGTTGGGATAAGCAATATAACACTACCAGAGGTGGTTAGAAATGTCGTCTTTTATTCAAATGTTTTTAGCCTCTTATCCAAAGGCAAAAAACATGTTCCTGTACAATGTAAAGTTAAATGTAAAATTTTACCGTAGAACAAATAGCATTGTCAACATTATAGGAAAAATAAAGAATCTGCTGGCAGCATCAACAGACAATAAAACCATGTTACAGGCCTACTGTAGAAAAAACAAACAACTGCTGTGTTAACGCATGTGACAAACAGCGGTATATGTGTAATTTTATTAATTTGCCCCTAGTACCATTTTATTATACACTAAGCAGGGAACTGTACAACCTATATTTTTATGATTGCATTTTACAAAGCGATGTACAGCTTTAGTTAACTGAAAGTTATACGATGCAATCAACGTTCTCCTTGATCAGCTGCAGCTATACCGAAGTCAACAACAGGACTTTGATGTTTCCAATGAAAATTCTATAGACAGAATTTTATTCATAGATTCTCACTGAGAAACAATTAATAAAACATAATCACAGTGTTTATAGATATAGTGAGAAATTGTAGGTGCTGCCAAGCACATATGTAATTCCAAACTATATGTAGAAACAAAGGTTTATAAAACATATGAATAAACTAAATAACATTAATTATAGTTAACATTAAATTGACAATGCTGTAGAGCAGGCCTTGAAATTTCCACTCGCCTACTCGCCAATGGCGAGTGGAAATTATGGAGGGGGCGAGTGTGTCCCCCAAGGCCGTCTTGCTGAGCAGGCTCGGAGCTCAGGCCGGATCTGTCATTGGCATTGGGAGCCGTCAGACTGCTCAATAGCTGAGCGCAGTGAAAGCAAAGGAAGGAGTGTATGCTATGCTCTCTGCCTCCCCCTAGAGTGCAGTACCTGGCTCTGTGAGTGTAAACAACGAAGTACGGCAACTTTTTATAGGGGAGTGTACATGTGTGTGTGTTTGTGTATGCATGTACATGTGTCTGTGTGTAAGTACATGTGTGTATCTATACATGTGTCTGCGTGTATGTACATGTATGTGTATACGTGTGTGTGTGTGTATGTACGTACATGTGTCTGTGTATGTATGTACATGTGTCTGTGCGTGTGTATTTCTGTGTATGTACATGTATCTGTGTGTATGCGTGTCTGTACGTGCCTGTGTGTGTATACATGTCTGTTTGTGTGTACGTGTCTCGGTGCGTGTGCATACATGTTTCTGTGTGTGTAGTTCTGTGTGTGTGTATATATGAACATGTCTGTGTGTGTGAACAAGTGTCTCTGTTTGTTTGTGTGTGTTTGTTGATGGCTAGTAACTCTTAAGGCGTGGCTAGTAGCTCAGGACTTGAAATTTTAAGCCCTGCCGTAGAGTAGCCACGTTTGGCTGGTTTTTTTTTGTTCAGAAGAATGCAAAAGAAGACAGTAAGAACACCTCTGTCGTAGTATGACAAGCATTGCAAACTAATAGGAACAGCAACCATGACAGGGGAATTAGACTGCTGGACTCTTCAAAGAGGAGAGAACACAGAGGAAAACTTAAAGCCTGTGTGCAGCCAAAATAAACACAAACAACAGCACAAGGGACATAAATTACAGTAGGTAAGATATGTCCCTTGTGTTGCTGCATCTTCCATTAAGTGAAATCTTCCTTCCTGCATGCCCCTCTATCCCCTCCACTGTAATTTTATGGTGCAGTGGAGGTTAATGAACTAAGGGGCTGTCACAGACTTTCATCAAGAGTACCTGGCTATGCCTACATTTTCCGCTCAACTCCAAAATTTATAGAAACCATACTACAGCTTTTATGAATGGAGAACCTTTCAATAATCTGCCCAGCCTTCATTCCTAAAAACATAGTGCGCCCCCCCCCCAGGTTTGCAGGGTTCTTCTCCCTAACAACTCCTGTCATTTTTAAATCGACATGGCACAGTCAGTCAGAGGACGTTGTGTGAATGAAAAAACTACAAGTCTAATTTCCCACACGGCACTGGGACTGTAGTTCTCCATTAAGCACAAATGTGTTGATGTCAACATACGTTTACGCCATTATTACTTCCTTCAGCTCCATAGCAAACTAGTTACTGGGTACAATTATTGCAGTTGCAGACCAACTGATCCCAGTTGCAATGCTTTGCAGGCTCAAATGCAATAAATATTAAATGCTCACATTTGGGTGCTTTAATTAATTGTCTGAAAAAGGTTGAAATGTCCTTTAGTGTGATGTCACATGGGGGAGTATGCCCCTAGCAACAAATCACTAGTGCCTATTAGCACACGGAAGATTTTAACTTTCTTCCTGTTTCTTTAGAAACCAGTAATTGAGACAGGCAGTGAAGGAACATTTCCTCACATGGTCACAGACAGCAAATTCACCCTGAGGTCATCACAGAGGACAAGAGGGCACTCTTTACGGCTGGAGTATAAGAAATTTAATCTCCAAACACGGAAAGGTTTCTTCACCGCGAGAGCTGTCAAAATGTGGAATAGACTCCCTCAAGAGTTGGTTCTGCCCAGCTCAGTGGATTGCTTTAAAAAAGGCCTGGATTGTTTTCTATGATACACAGATATATAACTGGATACTAACATTTATAGGTAAAGTTGATCCAGGGAAAATCCGATTGCCTCTTGGGGGATCCGGAAATCATTTTTTCCCTGCAGGAGCAAATTGGATCATGCTTTGCTGGATTTTTTTGCCTTCCCCTGGATCAACTGTGGGTATAGGATGATAACTTTTTATTTTTTTTTTAATGGTTGAACTGGATGGACTTTTGTCTTTTTTCAGCCAGACTAACTATGTAAAATAAAGCTGAGAGAGGATCAAACCATTGCCCACTGTAAAAAGTGTTTTATTACTGTATGTGTTAATTTACCCTCATTACTAGTCACAGGTTTCACAAACAACCAAAACAATATAGGGATTCAGTATGTATCAAAAAAAAAAAAAAAAAAAAAAAAGGCTTGTGTAGATATAAATGAAATGCTTTTCCTACGCTAAGCCTCTCAGCCTCTCTTTGTGTGTATAGTATGTTACCTTTATGTGCATGGACACGCTGCACCCAGGATAAGGGACAGGCTTTCATCACAGAGTATGGAACACTGAGTGTGTGCATCTTGTTTACGACATTCTGGAAAAGAAAAGAAATATAATACAGTCAGTTCATTTCAGTAGTGCAAACCAGTTGCTTTAGTATTGAAAGTCAAGGTAAGGAGGGAGAATAATTTGCAGAGAATCTTATTCAATACCATGGCAAAAAAAAAAAAAAAATCAACTGTAATGTGCAAAGTTTAGCCCCCCCCCCCCCCCCCCCCCCCAGGAACACTACTGCAGTTTATTGTAGCCACAAAAGCGATAATGTATCATTGCATGAGTCAGTATGAGTGAGTGTACTATGCATAATATCACTACTATTTGTAGTGGTCATCATACAAGTCAGTTATTCTACATCTACCATAAAGATTTCACAGCTACTACTGCTCTTACCGTTAGTATGCCATGCCATAGGCCAGCATCTCTCTTGAAATCTAGCACATTCACCATAGTTTCACCTAAAAGAAAAAAAAAAAATTACCCTATACAATTGCCTTATCAGTATATAAATTAGGCCATTTCTGAGTAGGCTAGTTGTGTTAGGAGCTACGAGTCCAATCCCATGGTTCATAAATATGAGAGCTAGTGTCCCTCAACTGAATATAGAAAAGCCCAAATTACCTTTTACAAAATTCAGTATGTATAATGTAGTATCGGTCACATAATAGCACGCTAAATTATATACGTGGTCATTTATAATAATGGTGGAAAAGAAAAAGTGAAAGGCAACCCTTTAGTCACGATTTTATTCCTGTTCACATTTGTACATTTCGCTGCAGTGAAACACATGCCTTTTATCACATGAGAATCCATTTCAAGTGGAAATCCCTTTTGTCATTTCTGTACGTTAACACATGTGCGCCCACAGGAATGATTGGCGAATCCGAAAATTCCAGCAGTAATGCACAAAGTAAGGAGGAAGTTGGATTGCCACTCCAAATCTTTTAAAACATCACCTTTTCACTACCCATAATTTTTTAGAATAGAATTACTCAAAACCATCTAATTATATTCAGACAGCAATGTCCATAAAAAGCAAGTAAGAACAACCGATAAAGATATGTATTTAGGTAAACCACAATTATCATACAATTACTCACCTTCTGAATAGTTACAGGCCTGCGAAAGAGCTTGACAGTGAGAAAGCATTGCTATACGTGAAACAGTGACCCCCATAACGCTGCCTTCCTTACTGGTCTTGTACTGAAAAAAATATATTTGTCAATTAGTCCACAATGACCAAAAAATAATAAACAGAACTCATGTGTACTGTGGTACTGTTTTTGTTTAAGTCTCTTGGCTATCACTTTCTTACTCTGTCATAGAGCTCCCATGACTTAAACTGGCCATACGCATATAGAGATGAAGGAATAAAGGGCAGATGGATGAATCTCCTGCTGCAGCTATTGTATTTTAACAGCCAGCCTCACCAGCAATTATCCAAACAGTGCCTGTGATTTGATTAGATGCAGCCGCGGCCACTGTTCAGTTGATAAACTCCTTCAATTTTTCAGTTGAAGAATGGGGCGTGGCAGGCGGTCAACAGGGTCAACCACTGAGAGAATTTTAGCTGGTACATTAGAAATGTGTGTATGCCCAGCTTACGTCCTTCAAACTGCAATTTAACTAAAAGCCCCATCAGCAATCCTTTTCTACTGTTTCTATGAAAAGAGGCAATACATCCCAACATTGAAATGTTTAATAATATCTTCATATTTTGGCTTTACAAATTACCATTCTATATAACCTACTATGGAATTTATAAAGACTGCAAGCTGTTATTTTCTCTAACAGTGTTGGTTTTGCCAAGTGTGAGTAAAGTTAAATTAGGGATATACTTTCTAATAACTTTCATCATAAGATCTCCTCTCACCTCAATGTAGGCAGGTTCTATGCCAGCTGCTGTGATATGTGGTTGCCAGTCCTTTGGTGCCTTGGTTAGGTATCTGGAGTCAGTCACAACCCACTTGAGTTTTGGCCATCCTAGCAAAAAAAGGGCATAATAAAAATTTTACTTTGCTTGAATGGTATATACAAAATTTGTAGTATACTTAAGTCAGGTCATCTGCATCTATGCCTTCCTCTGGTATTCCTAAGTCACTTTCCAGGCCCATTTTGTGTCTATACGATTTTCTAACTACAGAGGCATTACTAATACTAAAGATTCCTTCACATTTTGGGAATTCAAACTGCATGCAGCTCAGTGCAATTTATATATGCATTCTTTTTGTGTCTGCATTTAAAAAAACAAAACAAAAAACTAATCCTGTGTTCACTTCTATGGGTTTGAAATCATGGGCCTTATCTACAGAAAATAATTGTTTTCCCAGATTACTTTTTCATGTGGTAAAGTGGGCTGTACCACTGTCATTCTAACACTGAGCTGTACCATTGACATCTAAACAGTTACATATTTTCTAATGAATCAGGCTTAACCAGTAAGATGGTGCAAAGTTGTACTTAATATTTCAGTAACCCAGAGCAACCACCATTCACTGATCTGTTAAGCTGTAAATGATCTCAACATATAGAATGCACAAAGCCTTTAAAGAGTAACTTCACTTTTGCTATGAAAAAAAATTCCTCTCTGAGTGATCTATGTACAGGCATATCTTCGTTTACGAATTTAATTCGTTCTGTGGGACTCCTCGTATAGCGAAAAATTTGTAAACCAAAACGCTGTTTCCCATAGGAATGCATTGAAAATCAATTAATCCGTTCCTGAGGTCAGAAAAAAGTAAACGCTACTAAAATACCATGAGTTATTTTATCAAGTCATGCGGTGTTTTAGTAGTGACACCATTTGTTAATGTTTCAACTGTCAGCAGGGTTCCCCACTGACAGCTGAATGTAAAAGAATTACTGGCAATTAAACAGAGTGGGGTCCCCCCTCCCATCCATACCAAGCCCTTCGGGTCTGGTATGGATTTTGAAGGGAACTCCCACGCCAAAAAAAAAAAAATGGCGTGGGGTTCCCCCCAAAATCCATACCAGGCCCTTATCTGAGCATGCAGCCTGGCAGATCAGGAAAGGGGGGGAGCCAAGTGAGCGCCCCCCCTCCTGAACCATACCAGGCCAGATGCACTCAACATGGGGGGTGCTTTGGGGCAGAGGGGGCTCCCTCTCTCACAGAACCTTGTCCCCATGTTGATGGGGACAAGGGCCTCTTCCCCACAACCCTGGCCGACAGTTGTGGGGGGTCTGCGGGGAGGGGGCTTATTGGAATCTGGAAGCCCCCTTTAACAAGGCGGCCCCCAGATCCCGCCCCCCCCATGTGAATGAGTATGGGGTACATGGTCAAAAAAAACAAAAAGGTGTAGTGTGAAAAAAGACAGGACACGGTCTTTGACAAGTTCTTTATTAAAAGAAAAAACTAAAAGAATGTCCCCCACAGTAGATCCAACGTCAATCATGATGCCCACCTTCGACCCGAAAAAAATAAAATAAATAAATAAAAAAGGCTCAGCTTCTGACGATGGCCCCCGCCATCTGCCTGCTCCGGTTCTTAAATAGGTAAGAGGTGGGGCCACCCGCCATTTTTTTTTTTTTTTTTTTTTTTATTTTGACGTGGGAGTTCCCCTCAAAATCCATACCAGACCCGAAGGGCTTGGCATGGATGCCATTTTTTTAATTTATTATGGTGCTGGTTTTTAAATGTAATTACCACTATAGCACAGAGATTCAGCTGTCACTTTCCCCCCAGCTAAAAGACAAAGTTTATTTTTAGTTTATTTCCCCAAGGTAAAAGAAACAATGTTTCCTTTTAGTTTCTTAAAAGAAACAAAGCGTCCTTTAACTCCAGGGTAAGTGAAAGCTCTGTAAGCTATAGTGAAGGAAAAAAAAAAGCTGGCATTGCATTTAAAAATCGGCACCAACATACATTTTATATTGCGAAAAAAATTTGGAAAAAATACGTAAACCGAGGCATTATTTTCAATGGATTTTCATTCGTAAACCGTTACGTTAACTGAGGCGTTTGTAAACCGAGGTACACCTGTACATTTCAAAGATTTTAACAAACTTTATTTCAGATTGCTATCTTTTGTTGCTTTGAAGGAAAAGCGGTTTGTGTCAATGAACACAGTGAAAGTGAATGAGAGTGACTTTTGCAACATTTTATCAGCTGTTGCTCTGGCTGAGTTCTAAGAGGAAAGTTACAGGGGTCTAAATCCCTTTATAGATGCCATTAACCCTTTGGGAGTATCACACCAAAAATGAAATATTTGAAGATGATGCCTAAAATCTGACTTGTATCTTAGTGCAGACTTCCGCAGAAAATGACATTTCTGGGCGGTGCTCCATAAACTGTGTGTAGGTAATGCTTTCAGATTGCCATAATGCACTGAATTTTTAGAGAAACTTACAGCGCTGTAGATTAAAAAGGAAATGTAATTTTAATAACATTTAGTTACAACATGGCTTGTGTGGCAAATGTATATGCTATATTATTTTTTTCCCACGAAAGTGGAGTAACCCTTTAACTTTTCACCTATGCTATGAACATGAAAAGGTGTGGCCAGTACAAATAGAAGGTCTGTTTTTAAAACATCGAACTAGGACTTCTGTCTAGTGCAGCCAGTCAGGTTTAATGTCGTTCTCACTTGCACTAAGATTTTGATTTATGTGGGCAACGTCTACACTTTTCTTCAATCATAGTAGGAGGGTCTACTATGAGCAGTCACTAACATTATGGTTTCTATGCTTTTCGTGTACTGTGCCCACACAAAAAAAAAAAGCAAGTATTTCTTTCTTACCCATTTAACTGAAGCTAAAAAAAATCATGCAGTTGTTAAGGTCATACCATGGTCTTTGACTTACCAAATAATCTGGTTTTCCTCCTCTAAAAGAATTATTATAGACTTTTATCATTTTAACTTTTAAAATAGAAAAGGTTCTAAATTATATTATTTATAGGAATAAACTAGAAGCAGAGAAATGTAGTGGCATACCCTTGAATTGCACAATTTCTCCATTCTGTGTTTTTGGCAGTCCTTTTAAGCAAACCTCGGTGGTAAGAGCAAGCTTCACACCACAGCTTCCCAGCAGGAACCCAATCTGATGTCCACCAGCATCCTGTTTATGAAGAAGAAAATAAGATAAAACTTTTACACCAAAAGAATCACATTGCACTGATGTTAATAGGGTTGATTTACTGGGGTTTTAGTCTGCCTGTCATTTCCTGTGATTAAGTTGCATGAATATGCAGAAGAAAGATTACAATAAAAAAAAAATCACTAAAAAGTCAGCTCTCCAAACAAAACAGGATTGTAAAAATAAAAATATACTCAAGGCAAAGTAAAATAATGTAAGAGAGATCACCAACCACCAACAACATTAGTTGACACTGAAAAAAGTTAAGATTGCAATTCAAAATTAATATCTGAAAAACGTATGATTGAGTAGACTAAATGTCAATTAAACATCTTTAGCAGACTTAGGTGAGATAATTCACTGAACAAACATGTATGATTTGAAAAATATTACACATTAACGTGGTTCTAAAGTCATAAGGTTTTTTTCACCTTAGTGCATTCTATGCATTAATGTAAAAATTATTTTTAGTGCCTGTTTCTCTCCCCCCCCCCCCCCCCCCACTCCTCCTCCTGTATTAATCCAGTGCTGTACTTATCTGCAGGCCTTCTCTCCTCTCAGTCACAGGTTTGGTTGAGAGCAGCAGGTGCCATTGGCTCCTGCTGCTGTCAATCAAATCCAGTGAGGAGGGAGTGAGGGGTGGGGCCGAGCTGCACTGTGTGTGAATAGACATACATAGCCTGGCTTGGGAGCAAGCCAGCATGTGTGCCACCATACGAAGCAACAACTTCCTATGGTGGTACACAAAAAGAGGAGGAGCCTAGAGAACCAGTGGGGGACCCAGAAGAGGAAATATATATGCAATACCACTGTACAGAGAAGGCAAGTATAACAAGCTTTTTATTTTTGGAAAAAAATTTAACTTGACAACGCTTTAATTAATTAGGGCACACTACCAGTGGGTACAGCCCAAACCTTTTTTTTTTTTTTTTTTTTTTGGATGGCGTATTGAAGGAGAACAGACTGTGTTGGGTTTTACTATTTTCTGGGGCTCCATGAAAGAAATTTCCTCTCACTTACTATGAGGGTGACAACATTTTCAACCACACAGAAAGTGAAAGCCTAATTATTTTTGTAAAGTAGGAGAAGGCAAGAACCCCTTAAAGTTTTTTTTATTGCGCTGTGTCCCTCCTACAGATTGTTCTTCACTTCCTGTCTGGCAACCCATTGTCAATGTGACATTACAAGCTCTTTAACAAAGTCCAGGACAGCAGCAAAAACTCAACAGGGGTTCTAAGCTTTTACCACTCGAATTGAAAAAATATTTGGCAGCACATATCATTTAACGAACATTTAAAATGATATTTGACAGTTTTGTGCACACCTGACAGCGAAATAAACACTAGTAAATGATGGGTGTGTGGATGCGTTGTCTTGTCACAAAGCAGTGTGACAGCTAATCAAATGCCAATCAAACTTCCCATATGTTAGAACAATATAGTAATATATGAAACAGTGCTATGATGCAACATGAAGTGTCTTTTCCATGAAAAACTATCATCTTCTAGAAGCCCAACAGCCATTTGGCAAATTTAGGGCTCATGTACACTGCAGCTGATAAACTCACGTTTAGGAGCTTTTCTGCATTTTATTTTAGCAGCTCCTGAACTCTCCCTAATGTTTTCCTATGTGTCCATGTACATTATGTCATTTACAGTCGTTTACAGGCAGTTGAGTTTACAGTCGTTTTTCTGAACGCACCAAACTTGCGTTCAGGAGTGGATTTTATCAGCGTTTCAAATGCCACATGCTTGTAAACGCGTGTAAACGCAGCCAACCACGTTTATAAGCGTTTTTTAACGGTTTCATATCCAGATGCTCACCAGAGCATTTTTTTCATCAGAAATGCATACAAAGTTTTTTCCATGTATTCAAATGGACCCAGTACACCAGCGCAGGCAGTTCCAGGTTTTGCGTGAAGGAAAAAATGTTAGAACTTGCTGCATTATGCTCATGATGGGATCCATAGTGAATACAAGCAGAAGAAACAGGTAATCTCAACACATACTGCTCTCTCTGCTTCTGCTCTATTTTTCTCCAAATGTCTGAAATAGTTAATTTTTTACTGTTTTTCAGTGCATTCTGGGCATTTTGGAAGGTCTCCTGAAGTTATCTTTAAAAAAGTTTCTAAACGCAAACGCGCATAAACGCGGTATGCAAACGCAGCTGAACAGACATTTTTTTAACCTACGTTTTCCAGCAGTCAGTTTCCATTGTTCAGAAGTGTTTTCCAAATGTCCTGTGTACATGAGCCCTTAGTTTAACGCATGCTATAAACTGGCAAGTACCACCCCTTCAAAGTGATTGCTTAGTGCCACTACTCTCAACTTCCTGAGCCGATAATTTCAGCGAATGTTTTGTGAAAAGAATATGTCCTCTTTGGATTGAAAAAAGAGTGACAATTGCAAAAACATTTCCAGCAACAGACAATTATCTTTCTACAATAAGTTGTGCTTTATTAGCTTTATTTCCCAGTATAAACAATGGGCCACTGTACTGCTGATTCGAATTACTAGCGTTTAGCAGTACGGTTCTCATTTTAGACAACTTATTAAACATGACTGAATGTTAATAACCAGACAGTTAATGACAGACAGATGATGGAAACTAAAGATTCTAACTTGAGTTTTCAGTTAAGCACAGTTTATGGGAACCTATGCATGCCAAACAATTGTACCACTTTGCTAATATTGACCTTGGATGGCAGTGCACCCAAGTCACAGGACTGATCATCTCAAAACTTAAGGCCTGTTTTACATGGGAGTCAGTTGGTATAAGAGCAGTGTGAACAGCAAGCTTTTACAAAGTATTTGAAAAGCTTTCAGAAAGCTTTACTGAAGCTCTTGTTTGAAAATGTTGAACATAGATCTTAATGAGATTGCTGTAACTTTAGATAAGCTGTTAGCAACTTCAGGACTACTTGAAGCTAGTTGGAAAGCCTGCTAGCAGCTTGTTTAAGTGACCAGCACTCCTATTAAGATCTGTGTAAAACATTTACAATCAGGAGCTGAATGGCCCTTTAAAAGCATAGAGGAAGCTGATCAACGTTTGCTGAAAACTTTGCAAAAAGCTTGCTGAAAGTTTTATAAAAGCTTTCTGTTCACACTGCTCCTATACAAACTGAAGCCCATGAGAAACAGCCCTTAGAGTATCAAGAGCTTTCTCCCACCCAATGTGCAGGTCCACTTTTTCACTGTCGGTCATCTCCCAATAACTAGTGCAGGTCAAAACTATCTTATCTCTGTTCAGCTAGCAGTAATTTCCTAACCTTTTTAATCTCCAAAAACCACCTTCAAAAGGGCCTCAGTTGGCATTATCTACCCAATATACAGTGAGAAAGTGTGAGGTAGTTGTTCATATCTACTGAAATCAAGCCTCTGTCACCAGGTCTTTTCTTGACCATAGCCCAAGGAGAAAATTTGGCAGCACTTCGGTGGACAGAGTTATTTGTGAACTCAACATAGTCTAGAACTGCCTGAATGTGTGCAAATGTTGTTAGACAGTAACACACAGAGGCCATGCAGCAGTGATGTAAATGGATATTAATGGACAATAATGAAAATGGAATTAGAAGCCTTTCTTACTATCTCATTCTGGATTTTAGCTTAGGTAATCACCTTACCTCAAGGCAGGGACACCTCATTTACAAAATCTTATTTTTGGTATATATTCATCCAAATGGTTATTTCAGTTGTAAGTACATGGGTTGAACTGTGCAAAATCTTTTTTTTATTAAGGGTTCCAGGAGTAAGGTCTCCCTTACAAAGATCTCAGCTTTGCATTTGGCCACACCTATTGCCAGGACATCCTACAGATTCTGTGTAATGTCAAGTAAATTAGGTGCTACAGCAAGTGTGAAACACTCTCATAAAGGCCACAAGAACAAGAAGATATATGTGGAAGATAATTAGATCTACTAGCATTCACCCAAGTTAAACATCAGTTAGACCAATGCTGTAATGTATATGTATATATGTGTACATACATACATACAAACATCTACACGTAGAAATTAAATAACCATTGAAAGTGACCAATAAAATGTTGAGTCTGTCAAAAAATTATAATTTTAATATAGGCCATTAATACATTGATTAGTCTAATATGCAGCCAATACGTAGCTCCTACTGGACACTGCAAGTGCTCCACCTATACCACTTCATGTCCTAAAGATTGTGAGCCCACAGTATGTCTCAACACAGAAATGTAAGGCTGGGTCAAGCTTGTTATTATTCAATCTAAAGCTGAATGTACAAACCAGATTTTTGTTAGACATGCGGGACAAAAGAAAAAAAATTTAACAAAGTGCCCTAATCCAAGCTATTTAGGGTTGACAGAAGAATCTCCTGCTGCGACTACTGTATCCTGACAAACACAGCTAGAACCTGCCAGAGTACCCCAACAGCGGCTGCATCTGATTGGATGCAGCTGCTTATTGTCCAAATATTTTACGCCCAGCTCTTTTGCTATTTTAATAGAAGGATGCTGGGCAGGAAGTGGCCACCCACGCAGTGAAACCAGCCAAAATTCATATAGTGTGCACCAAGCTTAGGACTGAGCAGCTAAAGGGATTTGTAACTCTTATAATGAGGCCTTAGAAGGATCCCACTAGAAATGTTCAAGTTACGTCCAGCCATTAAAAGAGCTGAAGTATAACTTCCCAGAGAGAATATATCTTAATTGGTGTGGAAATGCTTTGGATATTTGGATAAGCGTAAAATCAAGAAAGAAATCATCTCAATTGACATGCTCAGTCACCTGACCCTAAAACCCCTACTAGGACCAGAGGAATAAAAATGAGAAAATATAGTAGGTCATTTATTATTGTTGTAAAGCCATCTTGTTAGCTTTTTATAGCCTAAAATACTGTGCATGCAAGTAATAATTTCTGGGTGCACTTAGCTTTGCAGTAATAAAAAAGGTTCAGACTAGATTATGCAGTCAATTATTCAAGAAAATGACATAAACATAAATAATGAATGCATTTCCTTTCACATTCATGTCATTTATTCTTGTGCTGGAATTACACTTTAGGTACAATTACCGGGAAAATGTAAATGGCCAGGGAATGGCTGCTTTGTATCAGCCATCAAGCGACTGATGGCCTGATAGCCAGTCCAACATAACTCTACATTTTATCGTTACCTTTCTTGTAAGAGGTACCTCAATCGGCACTGGGATAACTTCTGCCAGCAGACAGCCATAAAATGCTACCATAAACATGACTGGATCATTATTGGGATAAACCAGGGCAACCTGAAAAAAAGCCATGTGTAATATTAATGTTCAAAGAAGATTCTAAAATGAATATACAAAAGTGTTAATTCAATATATACATTTCTAATAAAAGATACAGCTCAGCTATATTCGCAAAGTCTTTACTTCCTGGAACATGTACTGTACAAGCGGACCTAGTCAAACGTTACTCAAATTTACCAACACAATATAACCATGGACCTTATATGAAGATTAGTTTGTTCTTAGTTCTGTTAAAAGATTGGCTATAGAAAAACACTGGAGATACGACCAAATACAATAGCACAGGATTCCTCTTGCACATGGTGCATGGAGACTCCTGACATGACCATTAAACCGTAAAGCAGGAAATGGGGGTGTACAGAAAGTTCAGCTGTACAAAAACTTATATGTATTTTGGCAACTCCAGTGGATGCCATTAACACCAACACCTATAATTTACCTCATTGGCTGTTCATAAAATTGTTACTGACTACTGAGTGTTCCCTCTATAGCTTAAAAAAACAGCTGAGGAACAGATAGGTTAGTGTTCTTTCTACCACCCACATTACATTTATTTAACTTTCCTAATTAGAGAAATATCTTAGGGGCTATTAAGGATTCTCTGCCATAAACAAAATAATAAAAAAAGAAATTCTGCTGGTATTAAAGGGTAAGTTCTCGATGAAAAAAAATGAATGCACTTTTTTTGCAAGTAAAAACATTCACTTATTATTTTTCTTCTTAGGAGTCTGTAAACCATTGCACCCACGATAAGCAGATCATGGGTTCAATGTCAGGGCCCTGCAGACTGTCAGTACGGCTGTCTGATCATGTCTCCCATACAGTTACAGAAGAATTAATGCTCTAAGACGGTGCTCACCAGAGCCCTTGCAGTACACTGAGAACTACAAGCTGTCAGCCTTGGGGCAAGACAGTACATGTAGCTCATTCATTTACAGAAGTCTGTGAATGAATGAGGTGGTTGTGTTACGGAGCCCCACACAGCTGCACTGTTTTTAAATTGTGATAGCATATGCAGGAAAAGGATCCCTCACCCACTGTCACATTGGGGGATCGGAGTGCAGGCACTCAGAAGTTCACACACCTGTAGATAGCTCTAATATCCTGCTTTCACTATGAAATTTCAAATCAGTAAGGGCTCTTTCACACTTGACTGTTTTACCAACGCTTGCCAAACGCCCCTATAGCATTTGGCAAGCGTTGGTCCGGCGTTTGTGGAGCGTTTTTTGCACGGTTTAGTGGAGGTTGCTAGGCATTTGCAGAGCGTTAAAAACGCCCCACAAACGCCTAGAATGAAGTTTGAATGGTGTTACCGCTCCGCAAACACCCCGCAAACGTCGCCGCACCGCAAACGCCAGCCGGGCATTTGTGCAGTGGCACCATAGACTAGAATAGGAGGCTTCAACGCCTCCTGACTCGACCAGAGGCGTCCATTTTGCCGCAACGCAACGCTAATGCTCCCGTTAGAACAGCACCATGTGCTGCAACGTGCAGAATTGTCCGAGGCGTTTGGGAAGCGGTAAAAACGCTTCCCAAACGCCTCACTGCCGCCTGCACACAACGCTAGTGTGAACGTAGCCTTAGACAGCAAAAACCTTGGCACCGCCAAATAGTGCTGAAACTTGCCCAACACCTTCCTGCCTCATGTACATTCCTACTTGCCATAGTGATGAGCCAAAATGTGTGGGAATGAGAGGTAGTGGAAATTACAATGGCCAGACAGTTGGCCTATAAATGTGGGTACAGGGGCTGCTGCAGGTATGTAGGTATGTGCATCTCTAGGTGTTTGCAATTTATACCTGCTTTAGGATTATATATATATATATATATATATATATATATATATATAAACGTGGAACCGAAATTCACACCAGTGTTTAAAAAGGATGATGGCGAAAGAAAAATAAAATCTCCTTTTCTGTAAGCTGGCATCTACATGGAAGGATATTCTGTAATTAACATATTTTGAAACCCTGACAAGCAGTTGTTTCCAACTATAAAACGGGAAACAGAAACAATAGAAACAATCTGTTGTGGTGCATTAATGCACAAGCATTCATGTGCATTAACATGCATTGTTTTTAGACAGTCCACTCATTATGAATGGGCAGCCAACACATCACAACAGCTGAAAAATATAAATTACCCTTTACCAATGATACCCTTCTCAATGCATAGTATGTGGTATATGTACTGTATGCATGGCACTGTGGAGTGTTCTGTATTAGGCTCTACTGTAGGAAAGCGCAGGGGTGCCACTCACAATGAATGGAGCCGCAATGATCTGCACATAAAGCAGATGCATTATGGTACCGTGCATTAACACACGCATTTCTACAAAGTATACGTGTGAACAAGCCTTAAATAAACAAGACAGAAATTGATAATAATGTGTTGACATCTAGGGAGATCCAAATCTTCCAGATAAACATGTGTTAGGTGAGATCTCACAAGTAGAAAAGAAAATACTGTTATGTGCTAAACATCTAACCCTTTACAATAAGTACAAACATTTTGTTACACTCCTAATGAATGCTACATGTTTCATCTTGGTGAATGTAATTCATTACCATAAACAAAATTTTATGCAATAAAAGGGTAATTCTTAAACAATTTAATTAGTTTTGAAAGTACAGCAAACTTTAGTACTACTGCTTACTCTGTACGCAGCTCTCTGCTGCATTATTTAGGAAACTGCAGGATCCAAACCACGACTTTTACTTTATAAAAGACTCATATAACAGGCATAGTGTGGAGTAAATAGGGGCTGAAGAAATACAGTGCTTTACTCATATTAAGTGAGTATGAATTCACAGTCTAAGACTGGACAACAAAATGGAGCACATGATAAAATTAGATTGATATAAAAGTGTCAGCCCACTCAAAGCAGCTATTTCAGTTTTTGGTAGAAGGAATTAAGCCACGTAATTGTTTCTTATACCTCTTTCTGGTACATAGTAAAATTTCTACTGGATCTGCATAGCTGCCACTGTGCACTCTGAACTGACTTCCTACCATATAAAACACAACAGGAGGAATGGGAACAATCCAAAATAGGTAAGAACCCCATAAACTCCAATGTGTGCAGGAACAGAGTTTGGAACTATGGATTGAAGATTTTGCTTCTGGAATCATCAAGAAATATAGGAAACCACGGGGTGACTCAGCCGACCATATACTTCACTTGTAACTGAATTCCACTTCTGGGTGGACTGACCCTTTAAGTGTACATTGGGTAATACAAGTCACTGTCTAGGAAAATTTAAAAAAAATGTTGATACTCATCCCATGGATGCACATGGCCAGGCAGAGAGAGGATAAGAAGGTAGACACAAAGAAAATACAGTTGTCACTGAAAACATCGTGGAAGAGGCACAATAGAGATCTTAATTTAAAAAAATGCTGAATTAAAAGAATGTTCTGTAATCTTCATTCCAATGTCTAGTGCTAGATTTTGGATTTTTTTTTTTCATTAAAAGAGGCAAAGATGAAGTAGAATGCATCCTTTAGCAATCATGGTATATTGGGGCTCATGATGATTTACAGCAAGGCAGGAGGTTAGAAAATATGGCTTAGACAGAATATGAGAAGCCGTAGTGAAGGCATAAGTTGCAATGTTATGCTAAAATCATGGTCAGTGCAATGGTGACACAGCCAATACAGTAATATGAATGCCAAAGGTGGGTAAGTAATGCCTACTGCTGCTACAAAGACGACCGGTGCAATGCTTCTATGTAGGTGGTAGAGGCAGTAATGTTATACTGATGCAGGCATGATGCTGTTACACCAGTGGCTACAAAGACGACCAGCCCAATGCTTCTATGTAGATGGTAGAGGCAGTAATGTTATACTGATGCATGCATGATGCTGTTACACCAGTGGCTACAAAGACGACCAGCGCAATGCTTCTATGTAGGTGGTAGAGGCAGTAATGTTATACTGACGCAGGCATGATGAGGCAGTAATGTTATACTGACGCAGGCATGATGCTGTTACACCTGTTACACCAGTGGCTGTAAAGACGACCGACGCAATGCTTCTATGTAGGTGGTAGAGGCAGTAATGTTATACTGACGCAGGCATGATGCTGGTACACCAGTGGCTACAAAGACGACCGGCGCAATGCTTCTATGTAGATGGTAGAGGCAGTAATGTTATACTGACGCAGGCATGATGCTGTTACACCAGTGGCTACAAAGACGACCAGCGCAATGCTTCTATGTAGGTGGTAGAGGCAGTACTGTTATACTGACGCAGGCATGATGCGGTTACACCAGTGGCTGTAAAGACGACCGGCGCAATGCTTCTATGTAGGTGGTAGAGGCAGTAATGTTATACTGACGCATGCATGATGCTGTTACACCAGTGGCTACAAAGACGACCAGCCCAATGCTTCTATGTAGATGGTAGAGGCAGTAATGTTATACTGACGCAGGCATGATGCTGTTACACCAGTGGCTGTAAAGACGACCGACGCAATGCTTCTATGTAGGTGGTAGAGAGGCAGTAATGTTATACTGACGCAGGCATGATGCTGGTACACCAGTGGCTACAAAAGACGACCGGCGCAATGCTTCTATGTAGATGGTAAAGGCAGTAATGTTATACTGACGCAGGCATGATGTGGTACACCAGTGGCTAAAAAAGACGACCAGCGCAATGCTTCTATGTAGGTGGTAGAGGCAGTACTGTTATACTGACGCAGGCATGATGCTGTTACACCAGTGGCTGTAAAGACGACCGGCGCAATGCTTCTATGTAGGTGGTAGAGGCAGTAATGTTATACTGACGCAGGCATGATGCTGTTACACCAGTGGCTACAAAGACGACCAGCGCAATGCTTCTATGTAGGTGGTAGAGGTGTACTGTTATACTGACGCAAGCATGTATATGAAAGACACCAGTGGCTGTAAAAGACGACCGGCGCAATGCTTCTATGTAGGTGGTAGGTAGAGGCAGTAATGTTATACTGACGCATGCATGATGCTGTTACAACC